AAATGAAAAGTTCCAAAGTGTGTTTGTACAAAATGAAATCTTCAGAGAACCAGACACAATAAGAATTCCAGAGAACAACATAGAGCGGATAGAGGTGTCTAGAGATGAAGTGGAAAATATGCTAAAGGAGCTCGGGAGGAACAAAGCAGCTGGCCCAGATGGCGTTTCACCATGGGTTCTGAGAGAATGTGCATCTGAGCTCAGCATTCCACTTCACCTGATCTTTCAGGCATCCCTGTGTACAGGAATCGTAGCAGACGTGTGGAAACAGGCTAACATAGTTCCAATCTACAAAAGTGGCAGCAGGGAAGACCCCCTCAATTATAGACCTGTATCATTGACAAGTGTAATAGTGAAAGTATTGGAAAAGCTAATCAAAACTAAATGGGTAGAACACCTGGAGAGAAATGATATAATATCAGACAGACAGTATGGTTTTCTATCAGGAAGATCCTGTGTATCGAATTTACTCAGTTTCTATGATCGGGCCACAGAGATATTACAGGAAAGAGATGGCTGGGTTGACTGCATCTATCTGGACCTAAAAAAGGCTTTCGACAGAGTTCCACATAAGAGGTTGTTCTGGAAACTGGAAAATATTGGAGGGGTGACAGGTAAGCTTCTATCATGGATGAAAAATTTTCTGACTGATAGAAAAATGAGGGCAGTAATCAGAGGCAATGTATCGGAATGGAGAAATGTCACAAGTGGAGTACCACAGGGTTCAGTTCTTGCACCAGTGATGTTTATTGTGTACATAAATGATCTACCAGTTGGTATACAGAATTATATGAACATGTTTGCTGATGATGCTAAGATAATAGGAAGGATAAGAAATTTAGATGATTGTCATGCCCTTCAAGAAGACCTGGACAAAATAAGTATATGGAGCACCACCTGGCAAATGGAATTTAATGTTAATAAATGTCATGTTATGGAATGTGGAATAGGAGAACATAGACCCCATACAACCTATATATTATGTGAGAAATCTTTAAAGAATTCTGATAAAGAAAAAGATCTAGGGGTGGTTCTAGATAGAAAACTATCACCTGAGGACCACATAAAGAATATTGTGCAAGGAGCCTATGCGATGCTTTCTAACTTCAGAATTGCATTTAAATACATGGATGGCGATATACTAAAGAAATTGTTCATGACTTTTGTTAGGCCAAAGCTAGAATATGCAGTTGTTGTGTGGTGCCCATATCTTAAGAAGCACATCAACAAGCTGGAAAAGGTGCAAAGACATGCTACGAAGTGGCTCCCAGAACTGAAGGGCAAGAGCTACGAGGAGAGGTTGGAAGCATTAAACATGCCAAAACTAGAAGACAGAAGAAAAAGAGGTGATATGATCACTACGTACAAAATAGTAACAGGAATTGATAAAATCGACAGGGAAGGATTCCTGAGACCTGGCACTTCAAGAACAAGAGGTCATAGATTTAAACTAGCTAAACACAGATGCCGAAGAAATATAAGAAAATTCACCTTCGCAAATAGAGTGGTAGACGGTTGGAACAAGTTAAGTGAGAAGGTGGTGGAGGCCAAGACCGTCAGTAGTTTCAAAGCGTTATATGACAAAGAGTGCTGGGAAGACGGGACACCACGAGCGTAGCTCTCATCCTGTAACTACACTTAGGTAATTACACACACACACACACACACATATAAGAAGGTACATTGGGTTTATGAGAATACATAGCATTGATGTTTTTACATTCTTGTAAAGTCACTAATACGCAAAGCGCTTCACGCAAGTCCTTAATCTAACAGATAATTTTAAGTGGGTAATTTCTGGCAAAACTGAGAAATGTTAACAGGTACAGTACATTGTAAGAAAATTTGACAAAGATTAGTAGGTACATTTTAGTAAAATTTGAGGATTATTAACAGGTACATTGTAGCATAATTTGAGGATTATTTCTATGTATAATGTAGTAAATTGTGCATTCATTATAACAACCATGATATAAGATGATAGCAGTGATTACAATGGTGAAATTGAATGGTTTAGGCACATATATTGGGGAGTGGGTAGCACAAGATACAGTGCTATCTATACAGCACTGTATCAGTACATGTGCTATATTTCCTACCTAGTTTAAGGAACTAGGTAAGAAACTATGAGGATGAAATTAGGTACTTTTTTGGTTTTATTTTTGAATAAGACGTAGGTTGGACTCCTTTTAAATTCGTTTGGGAGTAAGTTCCATAGACCAGGTCCCTTTATTTGTATAGTGCCTACACAGATTTAGTTTGACTCTGGGGATATCAATGTGATTTATTTCTGGTGTGGTGATTTTGGATTGTATTACATCTGTCAAGGAAGCATTTCAGATCAGGATTTGCATTTAAGAACAGGGTTTTGTAAATGGCACAAGGGAATGTGTGAAGTTTATGTTTAGCATGTTTAGGGATTTAACTTAAACAGGGAGGTTGGGTGTTGTCTGAAAACAGTTTGTTATTGTTCTGATAGCAGATTTTTGCTGGGTGATGATGGGCTTGAGGTAGTTTGCAGTGGTTGATCCCCATGCACAGATATCATATGTAAGATAGGGATAGATTAGCACATAGTATAATGAGAGGAAAGCAGAGTTATGAACATGATATATGATTTTAAAAATTATACCAACCATTTTTGAGACTTTCTTGGTTATGTTGTATGTGGGTGCTGAAGTTGAATCTCTTGTCTAAGTATAGGCCAAGGAACTTTCTATCACTTTTATATTGCTGATGCTAACATTGTCTATCTGAAGCTGAACTGCATTTGTTGATTTGCATCCAAATAAGATGTTGTAAGTCTTTTCTATGTTTAGTGAGAGTTTGTTGGTTGACATCCATATGTGGACTTTTATTTTAATTTGTTATTCACAACATTATTCAGTGTGTGTGGGTTGGGGTCTGAGTATATGAGGGTAGTATCATCAGCAAATAATATAGGTTTAAGTTAGACACATTAGGCAGATCATTGATGTATATAAGAAATAGGAGAGGTCCTAGGATGCTGCCCTGTGGCATTTCTATGGTTAATGGTAGAGTGGGAGAGGTTATATCATTGATTGCTACATATTGGTGTATGTCACTAAGATAGGATCGAATATAGTTTAAGGCAAGATATCGGATTCCAGAATGCTGGAGTTTAAGTAAGAGGTAGTTATGGTTAACAGTATCAAAGGCCTTTCTCAGGTCAATGAAGAGTCCAATTGGGAACTCATTTTTGTCAAGGGCTGTGTAGATTATATCAAGTAGATTATAAATTGCATGTACCCTTTTGGGAGTGGAAGCCAAACTGACAGGGACTTAGTATGTTGAATTTTACGAGGGAGGAGTAATGTTGGTAAATAATTTTTTCAAATATTTTTGATAATATAGGTAGATTTCATATTGGTCTGTAATTGTTTGTCTGCTGTATTGCCTCCTTTATGATCTGGCGTGCTTCTATGAGCTTTATAAACTCGTGCTTGTTTAAGAATATCAGGGAACGTTCGATACGCTAGAGATTTGTTGAACAGCAGGGATATAGGCTTTACACACACTACTGCTTCATCCTGAATTTGAATTCATCGTGAACAATAGGGGGGTCCTTAGCAAGCCATAAAAGATATATAATGTAGTCGCCCTCTGGTACATAATGCAAGACACCAATACCCTCTCAAATAGGCCCAATATGGGCATATACCCAACATTTTCACAATCTTGAGGTTAGGTTAAGGTTCTCTAGGTTCATATAATTATAATCTGGATTTTGAGTAGTTTATTGTCTTGAGTACTATGGAGACATTCCTTGGGGTTGGCTGAGTACCTTGACCTTATAATTAAAGGAAGACTGTGTGTGTGTGTGTGTATATATATATATATATATATATATATATATATATATATATATATATATATATATATATATATATATATATATATATATAATATATATATATAATATATATATATATATATATATATATATATATATATATATATATATATATATATATATATATATATATATATATATATATATATATATATATATATATATATATATATATATATATATATATATATATATATATATATATATATATATATATATATATATATATATATATATATATATATATATATATATATATATATATATATATATATATATATATATATATATATATATATATATATATATATATATATATATATATATATATATATATATATATATATATATATATATATATATATATATATATATATTATATATATATATATATATATATATTATATATATATATATATTATATGTTATATATATATTATATGTTATATATATATATATGTTATATATATATATATATGTTATATATATATATATATATATATATATATATATATATATATATATATATATATATTATATATATATATATATATATATATATATATATATATATATATATATATATATATATATATATATATATATATATATATATATATATATATATATATATATATATATATATATATATATATATATATATATATATATATATTCAAAGACAACCCTACAACAGTTGCCCAACTTCCAGGTACATTAAAGATATAGTGGCTAGGTGAACAGAGGCATTACGTGAAAGGAAACGTACCCAACCATTTCTAGCCTGCCAGGGAATCGAACCCGGGATCCCTTAATGACTCTAGAACGTAGCCAAGACCCTCAAGCTAACCCACGTCGAGATAGCCTATGCTTTCATAATGGTTACTATCGGTATTTCTCCATATTAATTACTTATTTTTTTGCAGAAGATAATAAAGAGTATTGAGGGAAGTGAGGCGGGCGGCGGGCCAACAAACACCGGCACCAGCGGCTGCCTCCACATCTCCCGCCTCAACATAAAATATTTCATTGTTATCATTATAGCCGCATGAAGCAAGGAAACACACATCACTGTAGCAACATCAATAGATGTATAAAACAAATGTGTACAATCAATGTTTCTTACCGACGGCCGACCTCAGCTACCACGACCAGCTGGGAACAAGTCAAGCGAGAGTCCCTCCCCACTGTAGGCTTACTGCAGCTTAATTTACTGGGCTTAATGTCCATATAAAGCTATCAAATTCAGAAGGAAATTCTGGGCTTTTTACAGTCTTGTAATTGTATATTTCCAAAATATTTGAAAAAATATACAAGAAAACATGTTAAACTGTAGATCAAATGAGTATTTTTCGTTGACGTTGATCAATATATGATTTAGTAATCTATTTATGAAAACAGTATGTATTTTTTTATTTATGATTTAATTATTTTGTTATAGGTGGCATATACCCGCCTTTCATGTAGACGTGGTGGTTGGAGGTTATAATCACTAAAATATTAAGGGGGGGGGTTTAAGTACGGAAAAAATCGGAAAAAATCGTAAAATTTTGAAAACCTTATAAAAATACTACGTAGTTCTGGCAATATTGTGGTGCAATCCGAATAATTTTACGATACAAATTGATGTATTTATGGTACATTTCTATGCGTAATTGGTCAGAATCCGGAGCCCCGAGGCTGTGGTGCGCAGAAGGTATTGCGTTGTATGTTCTAAATGTCAATTTTTTCGTAATAACGTCGGAAATAACTCTGTATGTATGAATATAAAATATACACTCATTGGCAACAGTCTCCTCCTAGTGGGGGTGAGAGAGGAACAACGCAAGGGTTGCCAGATTGGGCTACAAGTAGCGAATTGGGCTACTTTTGAGAGCCCCACGCTCCCAAATTTTTATTTTCGCTACTTGCGACTTTTTGGGCTAGTTTAAAAGCAAGTTGGGCTACGTTGGGCTATTAATATTAAGAAACTCAATGATAATTATTTAGGCTTTAATAATATAATATGTACAAATCACAGCAGAGTCCAACAGTCTGATTGACTAGACCACTTACCGCAGGAGCCCTGGTCAGAGACCGGCCCCTGGGGACGTTGATCCTAGGAACCTTTGAAAGAAAAAGTAACCGCAAGGCAAGGTAATCCTCACCAGGGGCAATAGATTTCCCAACCTTAATTGTCATTAATACTTCATCCCGAAAGCTACAGCTGGTTCCACAGATCTTCATTAAGGGGAGAAAGTTATCTAGAAATTTTCAGATTGATAAATGATGGGAAAGATCCCTTACAGTTAATACCTTGTAAAAGACACATCTAACACTTTATGTAGGGCATACGTAAATCTGTGTATCTATGTATTTACGTATGTAGGTTAGCTTAGCATTTTAAAAGCACCGAATCACCTTCTGTGGTTGAGTGTTCAATAAACCCTTGAACTGTATGTTTAACACTTCTCTAACCCTGTCCATGGAGGGCAGAAGAAAATGTATATATGCTGGTTAGCATTGTAAATGTGTGGCCACGTCTGTGGTAGAAAATAATAATAAAAAAAAAAAAAAGTTAATACCTTTGTCAGGAAGACGATGGTTGGTAAGGAGCGGTAAAGCGGCTGTTAGATCAGTGGGATTCTCTAACAACTCATTACCAAATAGCTTTTTCCTTTTGTGATAAATATGTTGCACGGCAATTATTTTCAATGTACGCTGATCCCTCCAATAAGCTATATTTCACATGTCTCAAACCAGTCTTAAATGATTTTGAAAGGATGAATTTACTTTATCAAAAAGATGAAGCAGATCAGAATAGCCTTCACACTGTCTTAGAAAACTTCACTCTTGGAATACTCAGAAGAATCGTTCGTCCTCATCATGCAAAGCTTCATGTTAATTTGGACTACAATTCTATGTATCTGCCCCTGGAGAAAGTTGACTTTGGTTGTAATGACCGCTTACCCTGTCGTAATAACCGCGGCCTCTATTGTAATTCTCTGTCTCCCTTCACTCAATACCCCAGCTTAACACTGTTACAGTCCAGCATGACCCCTCACTGGACTGCCCCGTATATAAGAGGAATATTAAATGAGGAAGATACACCAAGGACAAGGGTTATTAGTTAAAAAAATAACAAAATACATTTGCACTGCCACCACCTTCCCGACCAACCATACCTGAATGTGTCTTATCACCGATCCCCCAGGAAGGCAAGGAATCAGTAACCATGGGACTCCGGGTAATATGAATTTCAGTAATAAATTTTGGAAAATTAGTTTGTGTAATTTACGTTACTAATTTAAATCCAAGGGCAACTTTAGTATCGATTAATTGTAGGAGAACCTGGGGGCTTCCAATACAACACCTAAAAATGACAATTAAAAAAGTAGCAAAATATATCAAAGGGAAGTTAAGTGAATACCACTGGACAAGCTATACAATTTATTTTATGAAACATGCAAATTAAGACAATTTGAAACACATAACCTATTCTATTCCCCAGAGGCACAATGGATATTTACTGAGGGCACGAAACTCAAGTGCTACTATACCTTAAATACCCGCACTACGGCCACGATGTTGATGGCTGCCCTCAGCCCCTAGGATACGGGCTTGCGGCCCTGTTCCTAATACACTCCCAAGACACACTGATGAAATTTTGTTTTACCAACTTATTGCTGGGAAGGATTACTCCTCCCACCATCTAATACAGCCCCAGGGCTCCACCCATTATTTTGGCAATGGCCAACCATTTAACACGTAGGCCTGAGGTCTGGCTCTCTAGGGCCAATAAGGACTTGGCCCTTATCTCAAGCCAATCACCTTCACTGATCTGCCGTGGAAAGCTACATGAATTCCTGAAGATTGAGTCAGCTCTCCCCAGCTATGAGAAGGGAGACAAGGCGCCTCTATGGAGCCCCAGTACACCTGCGAGCAATGTTTACAAAACTGATAAATTATGTTCAAGCCTGTCTCCTCTAAGATACGAGTAGGGACATTTGACTCTGCCTGGTATGGGGAAGGGACCGGTGAGAGGGGAAGAGAGGGGATACGAGGGAATGAGAGGGGGATGGAGAGGTATCCAAGACCACCCTCAGGTCAACCTCTTGACCCTGACAAATGGGCGACAGGGGAGGGGGAAGAGGCGGAGACGAATGACGGCCAAGGGGAGGGGAGAAGGAAGGAGGGGAGAGGGAGAAGGAAAGGCGGGGAGAAGGAGAAGGAAAGGAGGGGAGAAGGAAAGGAGGGGAGAAGGAGAAGGAAAGGGGGGGAGAAGGAGAGGGAAAGGAGGGGAGAAGGGAGAACTAATGATCTGAGCCCCAGATCATTACATGGTTACGAATTTTCAACACTTCGGGGCCACTAACAGACAAAACAATTTTATAACCCAGGAAAAGTTTCAAAATATTCAAGAAAGATGCGATAATTTTTTATTGAAAGCTTGCAAATCTGAGAAAGATCTGCTGAACAGATCTTTCTCGTATTCTAAGTAATGTTGAAACTAAAAAAAGGTGAAAAATCTGTTATCTACCATATGCCTTAGCCACACATGGCCACCATTTTCAGAACTTCCATTAGTACTAGCTGACCAATCTAAGCTTGATTGACTAGTCCAACATTTGTAAGGGACAAATTCCGACATCTGAAACGTCATTTTAAACCAAGACATGGTCACTGCTTGATCGCAAGCGGGGATTTTTCTGGCGGGGGAGAAAGAAACAATTGCGCAGCGCGTCCCGCGGCGTTGCGCGGGCAGTTTGGGGCCGCATAAATACGGGCGCACACTGGGGCTCTGCCTCACTCCGCCTGCCCTCGCCGCTGCCCTCGCAAAACTTACTGCCTTATATCTTTCAGCTCGGGGGAGGTGAGCTACGCGACAAAAAATCGACGCACGCCCCGACTGGACCAGGTATCGCTTACATGGTCAGGAATCAACACTCTTCGGATCCTACAAGCACAGATCCTACAAGCGCGCCTGTCACCAGGCGAGATTTCTCCAGGATCCTACGCGCTGCCCTCTCGGCGCTAGGCTTGACTCAGATGACTACGCTCCGCACCCAGCTGTCTCGGGACGGGCTCGCCACATCAGAAATAATGGCAGACGGCAGGCGGAAGAGTAGTGCTCACATCCTACGTCAGGCGGGACGTTGTTGCTCTGCTACATTGAGTGCCTCACGCGGCCAGCTGGCACTCGCCCTTCGGGGGGGGGGTCCGGCCGCTGGCCTGCGGTGGGGGTGCAGCGCCGGTCCCCAAGTGTCCCGCTGTCCGCAGCTAATACTTTGCCCAGTCTAGGTGCTAGTAAGCCCTACTTGTAGTCACACCCCCTTCTCCTTATCCATTAGGTCTTTTACGGCCTCTTGGCCGGGTACATTACGTGTTATGTGGTCTCTCACTTATTAGTTATTCTTTGTGTCCTGCCTGTTATATCCTAGTGTTATATAATTACTACACATTTGCACTCGGCCTTAATTCTAGTACCAGTTAACCTTTAGGTTTCTGCAGAATTAGTTTCCATGTCACTATAGGCTAAGGTCTCATACTTACTACGGGTGTACCTTTTAAGTTAAATCTAGTCCTCGGACTTGGAATTGTTACTGTTAATTCTTACTTTATATATTTACTTTATATATTTTAATATAAACGTTATATAGTCCTTAAATTATATATTTTGAAACTTTATATATTTACATGTTCAATATTAAGTTTAATAATATCAACTTTGTTATAAGCCTATAATATAAACCGTGTTTATTATAAACTTTATATAATTAATTACTTTATATTTGAACTTTATACATTTACATGTTCTGCAGAATTTAATCTTCAATAAACTTTAACGCCCCATACTGCCAGTATCTTTCTCCCCCTGGTCAGAAAATGGTCACTGCTTGATCGCAAGCGGGGATTTTTCTGGCGGGGGAGAAAGAAACAATTGCGCAGCGCGTCCCGCGGCGTTGCGCGGGCAGTTTGGGGCCGCATAAATACGGGCGCACACTGGGGCTCTGCCTCACTCCGCCTGCCCTCGCCGCTGCCCTCGCAAAACCCCACCCTCCCCCCCTTTGCAAGCGGCTGCTTTTGTACCCCCGTCATGCTTTGCACAGTTGTCCCGATTGTCTCCCCACTGCATGTGGGAAGGGGGGTGCAGCGCCGGTCCCCAAGTGTCCCGCTGTCCGCAGCTAATACTTTGCCCAGTCTAGGTGCTAGTAAGCCCTACTTGTAGTCACACCCCCTTCTCCTTATCCATTAGGTCTTTTACGGCCTCTTGGCCGGGTACATTACGTGTTATGTGGTCTCTCACTTATTAGTTATTCTTTGTGTCCTGCCTGTTATATCCTAGTGTTATATAATTACTACACATTTGCACTCGGCCTTAATTCTAGTACCAGTTAACCTTTAGGTTTCTGCAGAATTAGTTTCCATGTCACTATAGGCTAAGGTCTCATACTTACTACGGGTGTACCTTTTAAGTTAAATCTAGTCCTCGGACTTGGAATTGTTACTGTTAATTCTTACTTTATATATTTACTTTATATATTTTAATATAAACGTTATATAGTCCTTAAATTATATATTTTGAAACTTTATATATTTACATGTTCAATATTAAGTTTAATAATATCAACTTTGTTATAAGCCTATAATATAAACCGTGTTTATTATAAACTTTATATAATTAATTACTTTATATTTGAACTTTATACATTTACATGTTCTGCAGAATTTAATCTTCAATAAACTTTAACGCCCCATACTGCCAGTATCTTTCTCCCCCTGGTCAGAAAAATAACTGTCAAGAACACTGCTGGCGTACTGATTGACCTCGCTGAGTTTGTGTTGAAAATATACAGCTTGCCAATCAGTAATGCCCGATGTCAGCACTGTGGAGAAATGCCCGACAGACCACTGGAACATTATCTAACACAGTGCACAGTTACAAACCCATTAAGATTTCAACTTAGAGTCAACAGAGCAGAAGAAGTTGTTAAACACATATGGCTAATCTTACTGAAGCGACCATATACAAGTCATACATACTCATACTCCGCCCAAGTAAAACAGAAACAAGCAACACTTAGTGGGCCAGCCAGAGGCTTAGGGCCCGAGCAGGAATATCCCTGCAAACAAAAAAAAGTAATGCCCTAGTTGAACGGGTATTTTCGAGAGTAACATCAGTGAAAACTAAACTGAGAAATCGAAGGGACTTGAACTTTTGACATCAGTCTTGAGAATTAAAACATATCTTGAAGAAAATGTAACTTGTTGCTCGTCATTTGTACCACTCATGTCAATGCTTAAATATGAGTCTGCAATATACAAGAACGAGGTTGTGGATGAAGATCAAGATCTTGGTAATCTTCAACTGTAAAGACGTGGAAGGACTCTACACCCATTATGTTTCAAACAGTAAATATTGGTAGGTTATCCTATTATCATATTGGTTAAATATATATATATGCAGAGATAATATTAATAAAACAATTAAAATCGTTTAATGTACTCTATATATCAAAATAGATTACTTTGAAACCCGTATCAGTCACTATATCACATCAGTCAAGGGGCCTCGTAGCCTGGTGGATAGCGCGCAGGGCTCGTAATTCTGTGGCGCGGGTTCGATTCCCGCACGAGGCAGAAACAAATGGGCAAAGTTTCTTTCACCCTAAGTGCCCCTGTTACCTAGCAGTAAATAGGTACCTGGGAGTTAGTCAGCTGTCACGGGCTGCTTCCTGGGGTGTGTGTGTGGGGAAAAAAAAAAGAAAAAAAAGAAAAGTAGTTAGTAAACAGTTGATTGACAGTTGAGAGGCGGGCCGAAAGAGCAAAGCTCAACCCCCGCAAAACACAACTAGTAAACACTAAACAAAAAATTGGGCTACTCTTATTACAAATTCGCTACTTTTAGACCGTCAGCTCGCTACTTTTAGCAATTTGGATATGGCAGCCCTGTACAACGCCAGCAGTCACATGTTGTGATGAGGATCCTCTGTCGACGCGTTCTCTGTTCTCGCTCCTGAATATTGCGTTTGTTGCGTCTACTGCACAATGACATATAAGAGGAAGATTCACAAGATTAGAGCAGCAAATCTGGCACTCGCTCGCCGTCTTTATCAGCAAAGGAAAGCCGCTTTAGCGCAAGTAAGAGTAATATCGAGTGAAGATTGTGGTGGCCTCCCGGTTTCAGTTGTGAGAGGCTTGACGCTGACAACTCCCTCCTCGACGACCCTCACGCACCCTCCTGGACCCCAGCCCCTCTCTCCACGCCGCAATACAGTGCTATCTACCTCTACTAGCGAGGATGATGAGGCAGTCCCATCTACATCTGCCGAGGATGATGGGGCAGTGCCATCTACTGTCGAGGACGATGGGGCAGTCCCATCTACATCTACTGCTGAGGTTGATGAGGCAGTGGCGACTCCCAGAGTTTCGAAAAGGCGTATAGATACACCGAGCAGTGCCCAAAAGCGATTGAAAATATTTAGAGAACAGACGGCAGAAACATGTATCAGTGATAATGAGATCGAAGGAATAAAACGTCAAGCAGATGCACGTGAGACAGTGCTAATGGTGACAGACAGGAACCTTGAAAAGTACCTAGATGAAAATTCTCCATGTATGTATTGCGCACGTGATTCCCAAATTCATGAAGTCCTTATTGAACAACATAATGTTCACGTCATCAAAACCTGTAATGAGTGTAATATGTCCGTCAAACGACCATTGCAGACAAATTACGATATTCTGAAGACATTAGTGCACTGCAATATGCTAAATGGTCAAGGATACGTGTTTTACGAACGTTGGTGTGCCATAAATAGGATGAAATTTGTATCACAGAAGGTGTATGACAGGTGGCAGGATCATATCAGAGATGCTGCTAATCTAAAATGGGCGGATGTGCAAGAAAACACTCAGGGTATAATATTTGACCATTACATAAAACAGTTACATAGAGAACCCACTGATGGCATCCTTGACATTGATGTGTCATTTGACGGATCATGGCATACAAGAGGCCATCATTCACAAATTGGCACTTCATTTGTGGTTGAAATATTCACTGGCATGGTAGTTGACTTTAATGTTTTCTGCAAAAAGTGCTCTCAGTGCCAACAATTCGAGCGGTCGAAAAAAAGTGGAAAACTAAACCAGGCCCAGTTTGACAGTGAAATGGCTAAACATCTTCCAAAGTGTGATAGGAACTACAGTTCTAGTGCGAAAAATATGGAGGCGGATGCAGCAGTGTTGATGTGGGGTAGATCAGAAGTTAACAAACTCAGGTATACGACCTTCGTGGGGGACGGTGACTCGTCTGCTTACAATAAGGTTTGTGCAATGAACAATGGTGCTGGACCATACGGCGACACAAAGGTAGAAAAAGCCGAGCGTATAAATCACTTCAGCAAGAGAGTTTCTACACAGCCCCGCAACTTACAGAAATCAGCTGTCGAAGTCAAGGAGTCGAAAAGGAAGTCAAGACGAATGTCACTAGTGAAAGGTAAAGGAAAACTGACTGACTCAGACTCTAACTCAGAAAAACTAACTCAGAATCCAAATGAGTCTCTACACCAACGAGTTTGGACAATGGCCCCCAAAGACAGATTTGTTGGTCGTACAATGGTTGACTTCGCCATGGCAGTAACAGCCACCAACTACAACTCCGGGTATTCCAGGGGATCTCTGACCAGCCTCATTGGAATACCTCAGAATGATATAACTGATTGGTACTTTAGTAGAAAGGAGAAGTTGATGCAGAAACCAATGACACGCACCACCAAGCCAAGACAGGCTCCTGAGGAAGGGGATCCCGGGGCAGGTTCCTGTTAGTGCCCATTGCAGTGCCACCTTGAGGACCCACAATTTGGACCAATTACAATAGGTTAGTATGTTTTAGTGTTATAATTGGATATTTTGTAATAAATAATTGTAATATATATGTGCAGGCATATATATATATATATATGTTGTACCTAGTAGCCAGAATGTCGTACTCGGCCTACTATGCAAGACCCGATTTGCCTAATAGGCCAAGTTTTCCTGAATTTATATATTTTTCTAAAAAATTTCTTATGAAATGATAAAATCTGTCCATTTCATTATGTATGAGCTATTTCTTTTTAAATTTGAGCTAAAACTAACGTAGATATATGACCGAACCTAACCAACCCTACCTAACCTATCTTAACCTAACCTAAACTAACATAAATAAATCAATAATTTATGTTCTTAATATAATATAATAATAATAATAATATTTAAAATAAACCAATAGGAAATGATTTATTGAAAATAAAGAAAATCACTCGGCCTATTAGGCAAATCGAGCCTTGCATAGTTGGGTGAGAAGTGCGTTCTGGCTACTAGGTACGATATATGTGTATATATATGCGAACAAGCCTGAATGGTCCCCAGGACAATATGCAACTGTGTTCGTGTTTTTTGTGTTCCTCACGTGTGCCCCAAAGAATGAGGTGATTTGGTAAAATGCTATGCCCAAGATTACTATCCGAGTGCCGGCGGTGGGGTGGTTCAAATAGCCTCGGCTATCACCTCATTATGTCCGGTCGTGATGGTCAAGTGGATTAAGGCGTCTTGTACATACCAGTTGCGTGGCATCTGGGAGTGTGGGTGTGAGTTTTCAGTTGTGTATATATATATATATATGTCGTACCTAGTAGCCAGAACGCACTTCTCAGTCTACTATGCAAGGTCCGATTTGCCTAATAAGCCAAGTTTTCATGAATTAATTGTTTTTCGACTACCTAACCTAACTTTTTCGGCTACCTAACCTAACCTATAAAGATAGGTTAGGTTAGGTTAGGTAGGGTTGGTTAGGTTCGGTCATATATCTACGTTAATTTTAACTCCAATAAAAAAAAATTGACCTCATACATAATGAAATGGGGTAGCTTTATCATTTCATAAAAAAATTAGAGAAAATATATTAATTCAGGAAAACTTGGCTTATTAGACAAATCGGGCCTTGCATAGCAGGCCGAGTACGACGTTCTGGCTACTAGGTACAACATTATATATATCAGCCCGTCCTCCAAAAATGGGGTGGTAAATGTAAGAAGAAAAATAAGTGCAATTATGTCCTATTCATAGCAGTTAGGAATTGTACTTATTTTCACTTAGTATTAAATCGTACTGTCAAATATATTGTGAATATTTGAGTTTTCCTGAAAAACTGAATAGAAAACCACAACCTCCCCCTAACCGTCTTAGTTTTTGAAGATAATAATTTTATTGCTTCTTAATTACAATTAGTACTTAACCTATAGCTATATTGATATTACAGTTTTATAAAACTAATAAAACAAAACTAAAATATATCAATAAATTGTAAAGAAACTCAGGATATTTTAAAATTTTGTATAAAATCTACATTGTTTAATAAACCTGAAAAAAAAATTCCTAATATTTAAAACTTGTATATGACAAGTTGATTTAGAAAACTTCATCCTAAAATTCTGAGTGTCTTAACAGAAAGCGGGGAGAATTAAATCGGGGGAGGGAGTTGGGTAAATGTAACAGCCCCATAAGTTTAATTATGCACTGTTTATGACAGTAAGAAAGTGTACTTATTACACTTGGTATTAAATCGTACTGTCAATTTGGAGGATGGGTTGCATATATATATATATATATATATATATATATATATATATATATATATATATATATATATATATATATATATATAATATATATATATATATATATAATATATATAATATATATAATATATATATATATATATATATATATATATATATATATATATATATATATATATATATATATATATATATATATATATATATATATATATATGCATACAGTTGCCTGAATGGTCCTGGGGACCATTCAGGCTTGTTTGCATTTGTGTTCCTCACGTGTGCCCCAAAGAATGAGGTGATTTGATAAAATGCTATGCCCAAGATTACCATCCGAGTGCCGGCGGGGAAGTGGTTCAAATAGCTTCGGCTATCACTTCCTAATGTCCGGTCATGATGGTCAAGTGGATTAAGGCGTCCCTGTACATACCAGTTGCGTTGCTCCTGGCAGTATGGGTTCGAGTCACTTCTGGGGTGTGAGTTTTCAGTTGTATATAGTCCTGGGGACCATTCAGGCTTGTTTGCATTTGTGTTCCTCACGTGTGCCCCAAAGAATGAGGTGATTTGATAAAATGCTATGCCCAAGATTACCATCCGAGTGCCGGCGGGGAAGTGGTTCAAATAGCTTCGGCTATCACTTCCTTATGTCCGGTCGTGATGGTCAAGTGGATTAAGGCGTCCCTGTACATACCAGTTGTGTTGCTCCTGGCAGTATGGGTTTGAGTCACTTCTGGGGTGTGAGTTTTCAGTTGTATATAGTCCTGGGGACCATTCAGGCTTGTTTGCATTTGTGTTCCTCACGTGTGCCCCAAAGAATGAGGTGATTTGATAAAATGCTATGCCCAAGATTACCATCCGAGTGCCGGCGGGGAAGTGGTTCAAATAGCTTCGGCTATCACTTCCTTATGTCCGGTCGTGATGGTCAAGTGGATTAAGGCGTCCCTGTACATACCAGTTGCGTTGCTCCTGGCAGTATGGGTTTGAGTCACTTCTGGGGTGTGAGTTTTCAGTTGTATATAGTCCTGGGGACCATTCAGGCTTGTTTGCATATATATATATGTAGCGAGTAGATTATCCCAATAATATACTCGCTCCAAATATAGTGTTAATATTCCTGTTAACCTTTGGAGATGAATGAGGTGAGGCGTTGCCCGGGCAACACGGTGAGGTGTTGCCCAAGCAATATAAGCAGCGGTGTAGCGAACATTGGCTAGTCTACTTTCAAGTGTGGTCTAGAGCAGACACTTGCGAGATACTGTACCAACGCTCAGTGCGCTCAACTCACACCAACGTATCACCTGTGTACTTCTGTATATTCGACCAAATATATATATAGTATCTTAGTGTCTGTGTTTATTTGTCACCATACTTTACGTAACAATAGAACCGTTACATTGGTGACCCAGTGAGTGAAAAAGAACACCTAGTCACAAACTAGATCTTCGTCATGGATTTATCTACCAGGTTTCCAGCATACAACGCAGATGATTCAGAATTTTGGTTCATGCAGATGGAGGCTATTTTCGACCTTCACGAAGTTTCGATGATACCCAGCCACGATGGACTACAACATGGACTCTCACTGGACCTCTACTGCTACTGTTTGCTGTGATGGAACGCTAACACAACACCCTCGCCACAGCTATGATTTTCATCGCGTCCATCTCTGCATTTTCATCTACTACGGCTTGGTGCTCCACGATCACTACTCACTCATCTGGCAGCTTCATCAGTAACTACATAATGTGTGATCTACAGCCTGTCCTGCCGACTCTCCGTCGCTGCCAGGGCACTGCTTGTTCTACAGGGGCGCCCACGAAAGCTGCTCTTTCGTCAGATTCATCTACACGTTCACTGCATTCTGATACTCTGCCGACTCAAGCACTTTGCGCAGTACAGGACTTACAGCTTGCGTTTCCGACTCTTCGTCGCCTCCAGGACAATTCAGCTCTAGCAGTGATTACCTCGTTGTCCTAACTACGTGCCTACATTACCTCCTAATGTCCTGGTGCCCGAGCCCATCCGCCCCGGATCTAAATGCTCCACCAGCGACCCAAGGACGCAACAATTATGCACATTCTTCTCTCCTGCTACACCGAGCTTGTCCACACACTGCCTACATCTTTTAGTACCAGACTACAATTTCCACAGTCAACAATGTAGTACTCGGCGTGTACAGTCCTAATCAACCCAAGACGCTACAGCTTCGACACAGAGCAGACAGCAGACTACGACCGCATCGAGCCGCCACGCTCTCGCTCCCCGAGTTTAGACACTCACAATTCTCAATCGAGCCGCCACGCTCTCCCACATAGAGCTCCACGACTCCGGCCTCACTCATGCTAAATCCAGAGACACATCCACCGACTACGCAGTTCACTTTTCGACCCCAATTACCAGCCGCACCACAACCCTCCTACGACGACGGACGACCTCCCAGCACAGGATCCTCCTACGACCCCAGTTAGATGACATCAGCGAAGAGGAGGAAGTTAACTTTGATGGTTATGTAACGCGAGCAGGGCGTACAATTCACCGACCAGCTAAGTTCCTTGATCAATTATTTTTCCTTTCATCCCCTGGGAGGGGGAGTTCTGTAGCGAGTAGATTATCCCAATAATATACTCGCTCCAAATATAGTGTTAATATTCCTGTCAACCTTTGGAGATGAATGAGGTGAGGCGTTGCCCGGGCAACACGGTGAGGTGTTGCCCAAGCAATATAAGCAGCGGTGTAGCGAACATTGGCTAGTCTACTTTCAAGTGTGGTCTAGAGCAGACACTTGCGAGATACTGTACAACGCTCAGTGCGCTCAACTCACACCAACGTATCACCTGTGTACTTCTGTATATTCGACCAAATATATATATAGTATCTTAGTGTCTGTGTTTATTTGTCACCATACTTTACGTAACAATAGAACCGTTACATATATATTTTTTATACATATGTATATACATATGTTTGCATTTATATATAATATATATATATATATATATTATATATACTGTCTCCACTCGATCATCTGGACTATATGGGAAGGACCCCCAGCCGGATTATCACATTTTTCGGATAATGGTACTTTTTCACCTACGAGTCCAAAAGTGACCATTTCCAACTATTTTTATACTACAAACAACATAATTTGAATTGCCTTGCCACATACATTTATTAAATATTCAACTAGAAACCTCAACTTACCTTGTTGGTGTTCGTCTTCTTGATTGATGCCACACATCTTGAAGTTAAAAATTCTTAACAATTTACGTAACCTATACTAACACAACACTAAAATTAACACTTAAAATTACTGTACAGTTCATTAAGCTAAGTTAGTTTTGACTGCCAGCTGCTGAAGCCTCACTGGTTGAGGGCATTTGGGTTGCCTGTGAGGCCTCACTTGTTGAAGGCGCTTGCTTGCACCTCACTTGTTGAAGCGCTTGCTTGCACCTCACTTGTTGAAGCGCTTGCATGCCCTCACTTGTTGAAGGCGCTTGGCTTGCCTGTGACGCCTCACTTGTTAAAGGCGCTTGCTTGCGCCTCACTTGTTGAAAGCGCTTGGCTTGCCTGTGGCGCGTCACTTGTTGAAAGCGCTTGGCTTGCCTGTAATGCCTCACTTGTTGAAGGAGCTTGGCTTGCCTGTGGCGCCTCACTTGTTGAAGGCGCTTGGCTGCCTGTGACGCCTCACTGGTTGAACAACACGTAACTTGTCTTTAATTGCTAGGACAATCTTCTTCCTCTTAACACTTCCAGAACGATTGATGCTGCTACCAGACATATTCTTGGCCAAAAATGTTCAAAATTACTATGAAAATTAAGAAAGTTATTTAAAAAAATATTTCACTAATGGCGCAACACTGTGAGGCCGCACTGGTTGAGGTGTATAACTGTGACATGTCTTTTATTGTTAGGACAACTTTCTTCCTCTTATCACCTCCAGAACGATTGATGCTGCTGCCAGACATAGTCTTGGCCAAAAATGTTCAAAGTTACTATGAAAATAAAAAAGTTATTTAAAAAAATATTTCACTAATGGCGCAGCACTGTGTATAACACGAGGGACGGACGCACATGGGTTGACCAGTGTTGGACGGGTCCACTTGGGATAGCACGTTACGTAGGCCGCCAGGAGGAAAAAAATTAACAATATTTTTGAAGGAAATTTCAGCCTGTGCACAATGCTTTTAGGAAACTTATTTATTTGTTATTACATAATTACTAGTAGTTATTTCATTTGTTTTTGGCTATGATTAATTGTTCTAAAATTATTGGTAATTCCTGTACCCAGGTGGTCCCTCCTGACGCACCCCTCCCACCCTCCCAACACCACCCACCCACCCCACCCCCCTCCTCCACCATGCGTCTAGAGCCACAGACGGGATTAATACGGTATGGCCGTATTTTCATCCGGCCAAACCAGCTTTTATCCGGTTCCTGTGGCCATTTTGGCCGGATATTGTGATAACTTTATCCGATCACGATTTTGGCCGTATAAGGGCGTTTTCCGGATGTTTGAATCCCGGATAATCGCGGGGTTACAGTATATTATATATATTATATTATATATATATATATATATATATAATTATATATATATTATATATATTTTTTTCCCGTTTGTTATCAGGGGATTTGCATGGAACCTGCACACCTTGCTGAGCGGATGCCTATCTGCAAGGGTGCCAATTATGAACGAAATCGGTCGACGTCAAGCTCTGCTACAGGTGGCCAAACTTTGATCTTATTTTACATAGGTAAGTAATTTACAAATTCAGGGTGTGTCACAGCTTTCATTTATTAATCAATTTACATGCAAATTACACCTTATATGTAGAGTTTGTCCTTCTACAAACCTATCAGGGCATTTTAGTCCAAAGTTCATTTATTGATTTTATAAATATTTATAAACATTATATATTGCATATTTTTGGAAGGGGAACTTTGAATAATTGTATTATTGCACTAAACACTTTTTTGATTAAACTGCTTGAAGAAATCCTTTATTATATGCTAATGTGATATCTGAGTGTTATAGAAATGATTTTAGTTGACACATGTGTTCCCTGAGAGTTTTTGAAAAAGTTGAAAATTCGTTGCATGATACGTTGTGTATTTTTTTTCTCCCTTTCTATTTAGGGTGTGATGCTGAAACTTGGACCAGTTGCAGCCCTTTCCTTCACCATTTTGTAAATAAATTTTTAAGAAAATTGAATAACTTTTACTTTCCCCTAATAAGCCCCCAGTTGGCCTGACAGCTGAGTGGACAGCGCTCGGGACTTGTAATCCTTGGGTCCGGGGTTCTATGCCCGGCGATGGCGGAATCAGATAGGCAGTTTCTTTCACCCTGATGCCTCTGTTACCTAGCAGTAAATAGGTACCTGGGAGTTAGACAGTTGCTACGGGCTGCTTCCTGGGTGTGTGTGTGTGTGTGTAGTTGAGCGGCGGGCCAAAAGAGCCACAGCTCAACCCCCGCAAGCACTATGTGAATACAGTGTTCATATAATTATAAAAAAGAGAAACGTCTCAATTAATCTAAACCACCCGTGTAATTTTTTCATAGATATTTGTGATATTTAACCCTTAGAATATAAATAGATTACTTATAGACTAAATTAAAAAAAAGTAATTTAAACAAATATTATTCAAAGTAATTTGATATTGAAAAGAGCAAATAAATGTTTAAATACAAAAAATATTAGTAAAAAATACTATTAATTAAAAAGAAATATTTTATTTTGCATCTTTCTATTTTAAACAAAACAAATAATTACATAATAAAACTAACCCAAGTTATATGGGGGTTACACGTAAAACTTGGACTGGCTTCAGTAGGAAGCCTCCAAATTTTCTGTAGATTCATTTCTTTAATACAAATTGCATATGGATTCATTGGAATCTCAAGTTGTGTAACCAACCCGTCCTCAAGTCAAGTCCATTACATCCAGCAGTCAACCCTACAGATGCATTCATCAATGTTAACATGTTGTTCATTCCAAACGGGATTTTTCTCAAATATAAATTAATATTATAATATATTAGCATATTGTGCATATATAGGCATAGCTTAGGTTAGGTGTTTAGGTTCTGTTGGCGATTATTTGTATTTGTAGTATGTGGGTGAAGCATTTATAACATTGTAGTTCGAACAGAATTCGTCAGTGAAGCACTTGTTCCAGAAGTGTTCAAAGCAAATCAGTTGTGAGTATTGTGTAAATCGTTTTTCATTCATAAACAGGGGGTTTGGTAGGTGCATGGAATGGACTACGGGTCTTTATTTAGAGGACGAGCTGGGATGAGAGTATCCTGACCGCTGTTTCGATTCGAGTCGCCTCATTGCTTCAAATGATTTTCTTATAGATATATATCACGTTAGTGTGATATTTGTGTGTATTTGAAGCTGGAGCATATGGCTGATGGACTTTACCTACATCATTGTATGGGGGTTATATGAAGACTTGGACTGGTTTCAGAAGCCTCCAGACGTCCAATGGATTCTGTAGAGTCCCAGGTTGTATAACTTTTTTTTTTTAATTCATTGTGTCGAGGACAGGAAGCCAGAGTGTATTTATACGCGTTTGGGCTTTTACCGAGGTCCTCCTCCTCTTCCTATCTTGAGGTTATCTTGAGATGATTTCGGGGCTTTAGTGTCCCCCGCGGCCCGGTCCTTGACCAGGCCTCCACCCCCAGGAAGCAGCCCGTGACAGCTGACTAACACTCGGGTACCTATTTTACTGCTAGGTAACAGGGGCATAGGGTGAAAGAAACTGCCCATTGTTTCTCGCCGGCGCCCGAGATCGACCCCGTGACCACAGGATCAGAAGTCCAGCGTGCTGTCCGCTCAGCCGACCAGCTCCCCATGGCCGAATTACTGACCCTACCCAGGATTCGAACCTGGAATTCCCGATTGTGCATGGAGAACGAACCTGACTGTACTACCTGGACCCTTAGTGGTGGTGCATGGTACCACGTCATGGTGCAGGAGTAAGGTGTGCGACTGCGAGTACCCAGATCGCAGGTTCCAGTCACCTGAGAGCCCTATTTGATTTTCTGAGTACAGTACTGTAGTTGTTTGAGGTAGGCAGACAAAACTATTACAATATTTACATGGGTTGAGAGTGCATGAAATCTATGAACTTAGAGACAGGTGTTAAGTATGGATGGAAGACAGCAATTGATGGAAGAGAACAATCAGGAGAAAGCACCAAGCCATTATGAATTATATCACACTTGGAAGAAATGAGGATAAGAAATCGGGATGGGATGGGGTTATTGTTGTTTTGGATTAAGCAACTTGGAACAAAAGTTCCAAGTAGCACGGGTTATGGCGAGCCCGTAGTGGACTTTGGAAAAGAATAGTTCCGAACCACTTGGACGGTCTCGACCTGCATGAAGCGAGACCGTCACTCTCGCCCAAGCGGTTGGGCGAGCAGTTGATAGAGGAACAGGACAAGAATTTGGCAAATACTGTGCAGTACTTCAAATATAGGCTTATGCCCCTTCATTTATTAAAACTGTAAAATATACTGCATTAAGTTCGATGTCACTATACTGTACTGAAATGCTGAAAACGTGTTGTGTTGGGGTCAAGATTTATATATAAAAGTAAAACACTCGTGCAAGAGATAATATTCCTTTATTAAACTATTTCTCTCATTTTAAGGTAACAAATAATTAAAACCTATTTTAAGAAACAGTAGTTGTGTAAATTATTAGTGCTCATAATTATCTATTATATATATTTTAAATCAAAGAATGGCCCTTTACACCATATTTTTTACATTTTAAGATACAATAATATAATCCTCTTTACATCAATGTCAAGAACCAGTTGAGAATGATTGTGCTGGTTCTTCATGCAACCAGTCTTCTTGAATAATTTTGTTTAGTTTATTTGTGATGCATCCCCCTTACCCATCCTGTTGGCAGTAGTAGAAAGGGTTAGAGGCACATAATGGGCTCAGGGACTGAGCCCCAAAATTCAATTAGCTAAGCAAGTTACAAAATTTAATGCATATCTCATCAACAATGAGCTCGAGACTGATCATGAGTAGTTTCTAAATTAAGCAACTGACAAGTGGAGAGCTAGTCATAGTTGATATGTTTATCTTGCATTTCAACCCCCATCTAGTGGGCAGTGGTGGATAGGTTACAATCAATTGGTTACTACCTACAGTTATTAAGAGTACAGTATATTGGATTTTTGACGTATAAATCTCCTAAGGCCAAGAACTGATGTACTGTACTAAAAATCAGTGGCTCGTCAAATTAATATGATGTCCCATTTTCTGTTTGTTGGTCCTCGTATAAGTTAAGTTCGGGCAATTTAGTACAACTTTTTAGAGACATTGTGAATGCTTGAGAGGACAGGCTGCTTAACACTTTCGCGCTATCTGGACGCGCCGGCGCGTTCGGTTTCGTCTAACGTAAACGCATAGTGGACATAAAGTTATGTCTACTTTTAAAATATTTGTATAAAATTCAATTTTTATCCGATTTACTTTGGGTTTGTTTCAAACTGCGCGCTATGAGGCTCTCTTTCTCACCACTAGGCTGCATGGTACAATAAGTTCATGAAAGGTGTGGATAACTCCGATCAAATGGTATTTTGTCCCAAACGGGTTGCAGGTGGGTGACTTTAGCCGTTTATACTGGTAATTCTTCCCCCATATCAAGTATTATATGCATATGTCTGTTTAGGGAATTTTATTCCGATCAATATACAACCAAAAATAACTGTGTGCAACAAGTATAAACTTGACAAACATAACAAAAGTAAAAATATTTCGTGTGTGTTTGACGCTCACTGATATGTTCCAGCGTTGTTTTATATTTGTCGCTATTCTAACTTACGCTTTGTTGATATTTTTTACCTATGGGCACATAGAACATTCTATTGCGAACACATTGACATAAAAATGAATGACGTACATAGAAAATTAATGTCATGAGATTGAAATAAGTATAAACTTTCAAAGTGCCGTGCGTCGTCCCGTCACCGATACCGGGTAACAATTTCACCACTTCCCACACTCTTGCGGGCGGGCTGCATCATTATTCTACGCTTATATTCATATCACCGTGTTGGGAATTTCATTGCGAGTCCATTGATACCAAAATTAACGCTGTAGAACAAGTGTGGAGGTGATTACAATCCCAAGAGTAAAAACATTTTGTTGCTGATGGGCGCTCACGGCGAGTCGTCTACGTAGTTATTTATTTGGTGCTGGTATCCCTATATGTTTCGTGACTTATTTTACTGATGTTGTTCTAGAGAATTTTATTGCGAACACGTTGGTACCAAAATGAAATACGTAGCATGAGAACTAAAGTCAGAAGAGTAAAAAGAGTATACACATTTTTGTTTTTACGCTTAAGCGATAAAAACGCAGCGCGCACATTCGGTTGGCTGAGTGACCTTTGCGGAGAGCGCGAAAGTGTTAATGACGTTTACTGCAAAGTCAGTGAATGGATGGGCATCATTTTAAGTATCTAAGTATAGTATCTTTAAGTATCAAATTCTGTTCCATCCCATGAAACTGGGAATGTGGTAATAATTATGGAGAATTTTTTGTATTTCTTGAAGCATATATAATACAGAATAAATTAAAATAACCTCATATCAAAGAAAAGTCAATGCAAGTTCTTTTGATTACAGTTGATTCTTTTTAAGTTTAAAGGGTACATAGTACTGTATACTGAATGTGGCATACTAATACTGTACTCTGTTATATGCACTAGAATCTCAGCATGATAAGACATAGCTCTCACAATGATTCTAAACAAAAATGTCAATGATGAGTTAACTTATTCTATGGTAAAATAACATATCAGACTCTTCTACCAAATACCATCTCACTGCCCTCCCCATAGCTCAAGGTGCCATTTATGCTGCTATAGGACTATAGTACAGAACTGCTAGATTAGGTACTGATGATTCAATAGGATGTAGACATTAGGGTGAAGAGAACATTGATAAATTTACATGGATATTCAATAAGGAATCAAATTTATACCAGACATAGTTTGGGGTCAGGTAGAGAAAACATCCTTTCAGAGAGCCTGTAATAAGGTTATACAGTACCAGCCTGATTATGTTCATTTTAACATGTTTGACAATAACCAAAAAGAATGCTTAGAGAGGTTGGTGATAATATAACCATAGAGAACACTTTGGAGTAGTTATAGGAAAGAGATAACTTGGAATGTGCCAATTATCTTTCTTATACTATATATAAAACAGGGGTGAAAATATTAAAGGACTTTATCTACATCTAGACTTGGCCAAAGAATATTACTTTGAGGGAGATTAGGAGAAAAATAACAATGGATAAGTGTGAAGCAATATAAATAATAAATAAATAAGTAAATGAATAAATAAATGTTTATTTAGGTAAGGTGCATACAAGAGATTTTACAAAGATTGATGGATTTATAGATAGAGCTAGTACATACAATGCCTAAAGCCACCATTACGCAAAGCGTTTCAGGCATGAAAAACATTAATGACTAAAGCTTAATACTAATTGAGTATAAAGAATAAAATGTGTTGAGAACAAATAAAAATAGAGATAAAAAAGGGGGGAAAATGGCTGAAAAAGCAGCACAAATACAATTAGGTCAACAAACAGCGTTGTTTAAAAAAAACAGACATGGATTGACAATAGAGGGGTAAGGTAGGTTACAGGGAATTTATTAGGTAGTGCTTCGTTTTTATCTTAAACTGGTTGAGAGAGATACAGTCTTTAACATGGTTGGGAAGGTCATTCCACATTCTGGGTCCCTTGATTTAACTATTTATTTCTGGTGTGGTGCTCATGGGTTCTGTTACAACCTTCAATGAAGCTTTTGAGGTCAGGATTGGCATTACAGTTCAGCATTTTATATATGTATAATACACATGAGAGAATGTGCAGTGACTTAATATCTAACATATTCAGAGATTTGAGTAGGGGTACCGAGTGATGTCTGGGGCCAAGAGTTGGATATTGTCCTAATAGCAGCTTTGTGTTGAGTAATTAGAGGACGTAAATGATTTTGGGTAGTAGAACCCCAAGCACAAATACCATAGTTGAGATATGGATAGATGAGGGAGTAATAGAGTCACCAGGGCAGGGCGGGGTACATAATATCTGATCTTAGAAAGAATGCCAACAGTTTTTGAAACTTTTTTTATATATTTAGAATGTGTCCCTGGAAATTCAGCTTATGGTCAATGAGAACGCCAAGGAATTTGCCATCTAATTTGTTACAAATTTGGGTATTGTTTATTTTGAGATTTATTTGATTAGAGGATTTATTGCCAAACAGAATATAGAAAGTTTTGTCAGTTAAGGGTGAGTTTGTTGGCAGTTAGCCAAAGATGGACTTTATTTAGCTCAGTATTTACTGTGGCATTTAGAGCAAGGGGGTCAGGACTAGAGTAAATGAAGGTTGTGTCATCAGCAAATAGAATTGGTTTGAGGTGTTGGGAGGCATTTGGAAGGTCATTAATGTAGATGAGAAAGAGGAGAGGGCCAAGTATGCTGCCCTGAGGAACACCAATGTTGATGGGTAGGGTGGGAGAAATTGAATTATTCACAGAAACATACTGGAGCCTGTCAGTAAGGTAAGATTTGAGGTATTGCAGGGAGTGCAATACCTCTAATTTCAAGTATATCTCTAATTTCAAGTTCAACCAGCAGAAACTCTGCAAAATGATTCACAACTAGCCAACAATTAAATGCAGGTTCCTCAAGCAGTACCAATTTGCTGGTCAAGATACTTTGTTCATCATATTAACCATGCACAATTACAATATATTGCTTTATTAGATGGGGTACCCAGCAGCATTTGGGTCTCTCTCTTACCCTATCCCTCCCTCTTCTCCTCTCCTCTCATCTCCACCTTTCTCACCTTCCCTCTTTTTTCCCCACTTTCTACACCCTTCTCCACCACCCCTTCCCCAACATCTCCATTTTGGAAAATGTAACATAATCAAGTCCATCATTTTCAAGTAAATCATGGAAGTATGACCGGAGAAATCATCAAAACTTGATTTCAGACTAAATGAAAATTGCATCGAGAGGTTATAGATGGGAATATTTTGTAAAGCATGGTACCTGCACTGACCCAAATATTGAATGTACCATAATCATAAGAGTAAAGTACAGTTTAGCACTGTATGAAGATCCTAGTTAGTGAACAAATCCACGAGAGCCTTGATGAGGGTTCGGACCTATGCGCTGAATGTTCCCAGATACGCCTTAGTCAACTGTACCACGACATGGTAAAAGAATTGCAACCTGGAGTGCTACTGCCCTCACAAGGATCCCGAGGTTTCTACTGAAATCCTTGTGAGAGCAGTAACATTCCAGGTTGCAATTCTTTTACCATGTTGTGATACAGTTGACTAAGGCGTATCTGGGAACACTCAGTGCATAGGTCTGAACCCTCATCAAGACCCTTGTGGACTTCTTGATTTGATATATCACGTTATTGTGATTTCTGTGTGTATCCTAGTTAGTATTGTATACAATGCAAACCAAAGGAGCAGGCTGGTGCATCTAGAAGATATTTAGTTGGGTGAAAGAGTATCTTTTATGAATGTGACAGTCACAGTGAGAAGGAAGATATGAGAATGGAAAGAGGTAATGAATGATGTATAACAAGGGTCTATTCCTTGTGATACATCATTTATTATGGCTCATCCTGTTCCCAATACTGGTATTTGTAACAACAGAAGAAATAAAACCATTCACATAAATATTTGCTGATGAGCAGGATCAGAGCAGATATATAAATGTTTAATGATGCTAAAGTAATGAGCAGGATCAGTACAGAGGAGGACTGCAATATACTGTAAGATGAACTAACATTCTCCAGATGTGATCGAAGAAATAGATACAGTACTGAACTTTAACCCAGAAAGATGCAAGATTATTACTACAGGAATAGGAATCAGAAGACTTTATTGGAATTTGAAAGTACTGTAATAAAAAGAGAAAAAATAATTATATAAAAATACTATTTTTCAAATATAATTTAAGCTTAAGTTTAAAAAATTATTTACTATAAGCAGTGTAAATTTAAATAAAACCTAATCAAATATATCATCTGATTCCTCTGTAAGATCATTATTTGAAGTTTCTTTCTTGTCATCAACTTCAGAAACCTTTGATTCCTCTTCCTGAAACTGCAGACGAGCAGCAGCAAGAAATTTGCCTCTGGCATTGCTGCTATCAGTAACAAAAGCTGGGGGCTCATTCAGTGTGAGCTCCTGTGTAAGTGGGATGAGGACTGCAGTATCTTCACCATCAGCCATATCAGGCAGGTGGAGTTCAGGCAGGTGAAGTTCAGGCAAGACTGCAGGCACTGGTGGTGGAGTCGTGCACAGGGACTCGTCAACTGGCTGCAGGCAATGGTATTTACATTAGATTAAAATGCTAGACTGTTTCCTCTCATCACTATCATTTTTATTTTATTATTATTATTATAATTTTTATTATAATCTCATTCATTCATTACCATTATCCATTTATAGATTTTATTGGGTGGGGAAGTAAAAGCCTTGAAAACCTGTGCCTTAAGCATCAAAGTTATAAGGTCAAACATATGCTTTTCTGGGGGGCAGAGCCCCCTCCTTATTCTAAGAATAGAGTAGATGATGATAAAAATCCAGGAGGGGTTTATATATATTACCTTGTAGAAATTATAATGAAGTCTGTGTGTGGAAAACAGGGCAAAAACGAGAGATCAGAATTGAAGAACATAAGAAAGCATATAGAATCATGGCTGGTAACTGTGCTGTAGCAAACCATAGTTGGAAAAAGGATCACAATATTGATTTTCAGAAGTGTGAAATAATCTATAAAAGTACAGTAATAATATTAGAACTAGAAGGATAGTGAAAGGGGTTCTAATAAATACTCTGAATACTTTTGCTGGCAACCAAAGCTTTACTTCTGAGGATAGCTTTACTAGAAAAATGATTCCGAGTGAATTAAAATTAGATCTCAATAAATGGATGAATACAAGCAGTCCCATTAGCCGCGTTTCCTTTGGGTATGCAGAGGGTTACGAGGGAATAGCATCCAGATGAACATCGCTATTAATAACAACTCCAATTCTCAGAATAGCAGGATTACAGAAAGGATATGTGACCATAATTCCATAGAAGACAGAATTCCAATTCTGGGAAGAATCTGTGGAAGAATTCCACAGATACATTGGCAATTGGAAATAGAAGTGACATGGTCAGGAGGTCAAGAAAGATATGAGGACTGGACCCAGGATAGCAGCCTCATCAGACGTGGAGATGTAAGTCTCATCTTATTCACATACTCAGACCTTGACAAAGCACTCAGGAGAGTACAAAAGACTTGGCGCATATTCTTTACATAAATTTCACAAATACACAAGTGTGGATTTTTATCCTATGTTATTATGTCTGTGAGAAGACAGTACCATTACTTATGGTTCATATTCTTATGTCCAATATGCATGGTCTTGCATTTTTCAATACTGGAGAGCATTTTCTAGTACTGTATTCAGACTATTTGTAGAATTCATACAGGTCATCTGCAAGGCCTCAATATTGTTTTTGCTTCCCATTTTCCTGTAGATCTTTGTGTCATCTGCATATTTGATGTGGTTCATGATTTTAGTTATGGTTTAATATACAATATAAAACATTGTGTGGGTGTTGGGTTTTGTCTAGTCTCTTGTGTGAATACTAAAGTACTGATAAGTTATGAAGTTTTATAACTCTTGAACATTATTTTTGAGTGGAATTCTTGCTCATTGCACATATTTGGAGTTTTAAATTACAAACTTTAATACCGAAAATATGCAGATTAGTGAAAACTGGAATTGGTCAGATTTTGCCCAAATTCTCCTACAGTTTTCAAAATATGTCGTCTATCGGAAATATGACTCTTGAGCGTTATTTTTAAGCAGAATTCTGGCTCACTGCACACATTTGGAGTTTTAAATTACGACTTTTTATATAAAAAATATACAAATTACAGAAAATGGGAATTGGTCAGAATTAATTACTTATTACTTGAAAAGTATCATCTTTCGGTGGGTCATACTGTGACTTATTTCTAAATTTGTTTACTATATTTGTATAGAAGAGATCTTTCTTGACATTTTTTACAAGTTTTCATTCACAGTTTCTTTTGTCCGAGTTGATTTCATGGGTGGCTATATTCAATGCCCTTTTATATGTTGCTTTATATGTATCCTAGAGGATTGATAATTTAACTAGATGACCTAGAGCAGCCATGTCAAACATGCAGCTCGCAGGCCACATGTGCAAGCACACGTGATGCCCACACAAAGGATACTGTAATTTGGTATACAGTATATAATATAATAGAAAAACTATTCTGCAATAATTTTTATTAAATGACTTCAATTAGTTTTCGTGTGTGGCCCTCGTAACATAAATATGACCCATATGGCCCTCGGGGAACCCTCAGTTTGACATGCCTGACACAGAGGATTGATACTTTACCCAAATAACCAAGAGAACTGATACTTTATCCAGATGTTGAACTTAGTTGTTGTGGTTCTTTTTATTACTGTATGTTATCCATCTGATCTTTTTTTTTTGTTTCACTCTTCTTGTTGGCACATATTTTTGTACAAGTTCTGCAATGATTATTGTGAAATGATCCCATGATGCTTCAATGTCTTGATCTCTATTTGCTCCCTCAAGGAGATGTTTTACACCTCCTCTCTCATTCATTGATAATCTCCTTAGAAGCAATCATAGTAATCACCATTCTGGCATTTATGTGGGTTTTTAGTATTCTTTTCCATTTTAGGTTATAGTGGTCACATGTGGGGCGAGCTTCTTCCCAACCTAGAGTAACACAACCTTGTATACCATATATGTCTGACCAATTCTGGAGTACGCGGCTCCAGCCTGGAGTCCATACCTTGTCAAGTATACGGCAAATCTGGAGAAGGTTGAAAGGTATGCCACTAAACTAGTTCCAGAAGTAAGAGGTATGAGTTACAGAAAACCAATTCTATTTGCTGACGACACGACTTTCATTTACTACAGTCCTGACCCCTTTGCTCTAAATGTCACAGTGAATACCGAGCTAAATAAAGTCCATCACTGGCTAACTGCCAACAAACTCACCCTCAATATTGACAAAACTTTCTATATTTTGTTTGACAATAAATCCTCAAATCAAATAAATCTCAGGATTAACAATACCCAAATTTGTAACAGAGTATATGGCAAATTCCTTGGCGTTCTCATTGACCACAAGCTGAATTTCCAGGGACACATTCTAAATATATCAAAAAAAGTTTCAAAAACTGTTGGCATTCTTTCTAAGATCGGATATTATGTACCTCGCCCTGCCCTGGTGGCACTCTATTACTCTCTCATCTATCCTTATCTCAACTATGGTATTTGTGCTTGGGGTTCTACTACCCAAAATCATTTACGTCCTCTAATTACTCAACACAAAGCTGCTATTAGGACAATATCTAACTCTGGCCCCAGACATCATTCGGTACCCTTACTCAAATCTCTGAATATGTTAGATATTAAGTCACTGCACATCCTCTCATGTGTATTTTATATATATAAAATGCTGAACTGTAATGTCAATCCTGACCTTAAAAGCTTCCTAGAAGGTTGTAACAGATCCCATGAGGACCACACCAGAAACAAATACCAATTTGATATTCCAAGAGTACAACTTAGTCAAACTATAAATGCTCTACAAATCAAGGGACGTGGAATGACCTTCCCAATTATGTTAATGACTGTACCTCTCCCAACCACTTTAAGATAAAAACTAAGTACCACCTAATTAACTCAATGTAATCTACCTCACCCCTAAATGTCAACCCATGTCTACAATTTTAAACAATGCTGTTTGTTGAACAAATTGTATTTTTGCTTTTTTTCTGCCATGTTCCCCCCCCCCCCCCTGCCCCTTTTTTTCATTTTTTTCTTATTTTTTCTCAACACAATTTATACTTTAATCTCAATTAGTATTAAGTTTTAGTCTGTTTTTCCTGCCCGAAACGCTTTGCGTAATAGTGGCTTTAGGCATTGTATGTACTAGCTCTATCTATAAATCCATCAACTTTTGTATTTCACCTTGTATGTATGTACTTTACCTGAATAAATATTTGTATTTGTTTTGTTGTTGAAAAGTATATGAATTGCACCTCATGTCGCTGAAAGGCAGAAGAGTTAGGGGGAGATATGATTATTACAGGGCCTGATAGCTGAGTGGATATCACTTGGGATTCGTAGTCCTAAGGTTCCGGGTTCAATCCCCGGTGGAGGCGGAAACAAATGGGCAAAGTTTCCTTCATCCTGATGCCCCTGTTCACCTAGAAGTAAATAGGTACCTGGGAGTTAGACAGCTGCTACGGGCTGCTTCCTGGGAATGTTTAACAAAAAGAAGGCCTGGTCGAGGACCAGGCCGCGGGGACGCTAAGCCCCGAAATCATCTCAAGATAACCACATACAAAATTCTCAGGGGAATAAATAGGCAGGGTAGATAAAGACATTATTTAATATGGGATGGTACTCGCACAAGTGGACACAGATGGAAACTGAGTACCAAATGAGCCAAAGAGACATTAGAAAGAACTTTTTCAGTACCAGAGTAGTTAACAAATGGAATGCATTAAGAAGTGATGTGGTGGAGGCCAACTTCATACACAGTTTCAAATGTAGATATGATAGAGCCCAATAGGCAAGATCAAAAGTGGGATCTGTCACACGCTATATGAAAGAGGATTATGCAAAGTCAAAAAACTGTTCTCCTGTTTGTGATGTCCAATGTTCTTCCTGTACTGTACTATGCATTTACTAATTGATTTTTCTCTATTCTTTGCGTATAAAGTATTTATGCAACTTTTTCTCTGTTGTGAGCCATCCTAGGCTAAATGGCTTTACATGAGTTATGGTGAAAGTCACCACCAGCGTTAACTCTTGTTTATTATTTATTTTGTTTTTCATTCTCTAGTTGTACAAGTGTGAAATTCTATTCTAGTGCTTCATATGTATTATGTACTGTATAATCATAGTAAAAACAAAGCATTTTAGTTTTCTCCCTTCCAGGAATACTAAAATTATAATCAAGATGGGAAACAATCCTCATCAGAAAAGGAAATTAGATAACCAATGGAATTTAATGCTTACCTTTAATACATCATTAACTGTAGTAGTCTTTTCTAAGAGCACCATTTCATCCTGTGCATCAAGTCTTGTTCGATTAGTTTTTTTACGAAACACTGATCCATCTACACCTAGGAGTGATGCTAATTTGGCTCCATTTTCAATTACCTGTTGAATGACCAACAAATAATTCTATAGTAAAGATTAATATAATGTGGAAGAAAATAGATTAGGAAAAATAGAGCATCAAGTATAATTAAATGTTCATTTCTGAACTCAACCACAGTAGCTTCCCTAAGCATTTGCATGTCTTCACTCTTTAGCTATGAGGAATTAAATGTACCTCTCGGTTCATACCCACCTAGTCTAGAGCTCTTATAAGATAATCCTTTTGTCTTTTTTGGCTGAAGAGTCATATTTCCAATATAATGGCCAATTTGATGTTACTACATGTTGCTTTATCCTTGTGGGTAGAGGGGATCACATGGTATGAGACACAGAACTCTGTTTATAGACACAAACTCTGTTTATACAAGTCATTGTAACTGCCATATTGCTTACACAGAAAATTATAAACACAAACATTAGCAAAAATTAATGCAAAGTTATGTGTCCTAAAGCTGTAAAGTTATCAGTATGATGCAAAATCATGTGAAGCATGTACATATGCATGAAGTGTGTATGACTTTCAGGTGAGCTGAAATGAGTACATATGACCCAGTTGCTTTGTTAGTAACATCAGTGAAAGTAGAAGCAGCAGAAGTAATATCAGTGGAGGTAAAAACTATTGAAGAAGTAGCTATGGAAGTAGCAGCAATGAAAGTAGCAATAGTAGGAATATAGCTACAATTGTTGTAGTTGTGACAGTACTAGCAGAAAGAGCAATAACAGCATTGGCAGTAGAAGAGGAAGTAATGGTGGCAATAGTAACTACATGAATAGTATTGATAGTTGTACTAGGCATACACATGGCATATTCATAAAGAGCAGCTGATGAAATAGTTGTAACGATGGAAGAAATTGTAGAAGTAGCACTGACCCTCACTGACCTCTCACATATTCTAGAATCTGTATAAAATAAGTGAACTTACACCCCTGAATAACATACCTCAGTGTCAAGATCTGCTCCAGTAGCCTGTCGGAACCTGACCATTCTTACTTCAAATTCATTTAGCATTTTTACAGCACCCTCCTGTAAGTAAAGATAAATTTGGAATACCTGATGCCAGATATAGTGCACATATGGAATGACTAAAAGTTTTGATAATGTGGGAAGACTGCTAAAAAGGAATGTTGACAAAAGTAAAGTCCAGTGGCCTAATTGTTATAGAAAGAGAAGGAACCTCTGTGTAAACTGAGAAAAACTAGAAGTGACTGATCAGTTGAAATAACTGGAATTTGTAAATAACAAAAAGATGAATGCAAGCAAATTTGAGAATTTTCTAACATCTTTATGACTAAACTGTGCATCCAGATTCCACCCATGTTGTAATGACTGGTATGTAATGTTATCTTTTATTTGAATTAATGTTTTGTTTACTTATTGAAGTATCAGTGCATTATATTTTTTGCCAATGTTAATTTTTACATTTAACGTGCTAGTGTTTGCAAGTACATTAAGTTGTGTCCAAGAGAATGTTTGTATGTTCACGAAAGTATACTTGTTGCGTGCGTAGCTGCACTCGTCTAACACCCCCAGAGAGGAGCTGGACTTGGCTGAGAGGTGGTGTGGTTGTGCTCATGAGGCACACCCACCTCACTTTTGGTAGGTTGTTTCTCTCAGTTTCTCAAGAGATTGAAAAGGTTCAGTTATTCTGGTAAGATGTTAAATTTATTCCATGTTGTATTGTACAGTATTTCATTTCATGTGTTTTTAAAATAAATATATCACATCTCATTGGTTTATTTGAGTCCCGAAGTTCAAAACAGTTTGTATGTACTGTAGTCATTCACTTCACAAATCCTTTGTGTATTTGAAGTGCATTTTTATATACCTTACTAGAAGTACCCAGCCACACGTTGCTGTGGCTCAGTAACGCCTGTGCGTTGCTGAGCCAAAGCAACCTTCCGTGTCCCCCAGTCCTCTCCACCATTCCCCCGCCCACCCGTCTCCTCGGCCTCCCAACCATTCCCCACTCCACCATTCCCTCTTCCTTCCCACCATGCCCCACTTCCCTGTCCTTTTGTCCTCCCCACCATTCTCCATTCCCCCCATCCCCTCATCCCCACCATCTCAAACTCCCCCATCCCCCTCGTCCTTCCCCACCATTACCCCCTCCCTTGTCCACTCGTCCTTCCCACCATCTCTCACTTCCGTCCCCTCGTCATCCCCACCATTCCCCACTCTTTCGTCTGATGCCTTCCCAAATGGTCTGATGTTCCCATCAGAAAATTGGGAACATCAAGTGATCTGATGTTTCCATCACTGAAACATAAGAAAAACAGTTAAAAAATAAAATGAAAATATGAAAAAATAAAAAAATAAACTATACTCATGAAATGAACGGTATGGTAAACAACACAGCTCAATTCCAACGCAATTCACAAAATAATTAAATAAAAATAAAAATAAATCAAAATCTATGATAATTCAATTTATCAATGCAATCAGAAACATTGAAATGGAATTATAACAGATTTAGTATAGCATGTGTGTGTTGCTCTTACATGCAACAGATGGTGCCGTTTTTCAAGAAAAGCATAGTTTTATCTGTCACAGGTGTGGCATCTTTACTTATACTTATGAAATGAACGGTATGGTAAACAAGACAGCTCAATTCGAACACAATGTCACACAAAATAATTCGATAAAAAAATAAAATAAATTGAAATCTATAAAAATAAAATTTATCAATGCAATCGGAAACATTGAAATGGAATTCGTGACATATTTAGTATAGCGTGCATGTTGCCATTATGTGCAACAGATGGCGCTGTTTTTCAAAAAACGCATGTTTCTACCTGTCAGGCGGGTGGCATCTATATAGTATTTATATAAAAAGATACGCTTATTCGAATACAAGGTTGTATCAAAATTTCAAAGCAATCGGTGAAGAACTTTCGGAGATTACAACGCGTGTTGCTCTTACGTCCAACAGACGACGCTGTTTTAAAAAAATATGTTTTTTCCTGTCACAGGTTAGGCATGTATATAGTAGATATATAAAAAAAACGTGCCTATTCGAATGCAACATTGTGTCAAAATTTTAAAGCAATCGGTAAAGAGGTTTCGAAGATTTCATTCACATGAAAAACAATGAAAAACACAGTTTTTCAGAAAAAGCATGTTTTTTTACCGTCACAGACTTGACATCTATATAGTATGTATATAAGAACCTGCTCGGATGCGAATGGAACGTAGTGTGAAAATTTCAAAGCAATCGGTGAAGAACTTTCGGAGATTAGCGATTTTGAGCAAACGAACATTTCCATTTTTATTTATATAGATTATTTTTGGTTCTGTGTTGCTAATTTTAAATAACATACATGAAATGAAAGTAAGAAAGTAATAAATCACAAAATAACCCCCTCCCCCATTTTACAAGGTTCCCTTGTCCTACCTCCTTTCAATTTAAGTAGTCTTTCCCTAGTCCGACTTTTCAGTTTTCCTCAGGATCTTGTATGCAGTGATCAAGTTGTAAACTATTGTACTCTCAAAGTTTCCATCTGAACTTCACGATGTTCAGGTTTCATTTATACTCCAGTAATAGTCACACAAAGGCAATGTTCATTGACTTTAACCCATTAACTGCGCGGCCTATAAATATGACATCCCCCCCCAGTGCGTAGGAAATGAAACCTTGGGAAAAAATTATTTTTTCCTCGGAAAGTGTCAAAATCCCCTCCCTGTATATGGGTATAGCAACGCAAGTTCGAAATTGTACTTTCTTTGGCTGCTATGGGGTCCGAAAGGTGGGCCGTGACGTCATAATTCCCCGTGCGCCAGAGCAGTATGCACCCGGGGCCGGTGGGGCACCCGGAGCGGGGCGTGCAAGTTGCCGCGAATATATTTTTGCACATTTTTTGCGCACAGTTCCAAATACATTTTATTTGTTTTTACATGCTAATCCTATGTATAATGAACACGTACACTATATTATGGCAGTAAAACATCCGTACTGTCCGAAGACACTGTGTTACATGCATGACACTTGTGTACACATATGTTGCACATATTTACCATGAATCATGCTAATTTATGTATATATACAATCTATTTACAGACTATACACTGTCACACACTATATACATTCACCATCAACACATTCAGAACACCGAGAGTGTGAGCAACCACACCCAGCCAGCCCTCCCTCACTCCTCCAACATTGTATTCACCAACATTACTCCTCCAAATCATACAGTTATTCCCACCAATGTTTCATGTTCATTTATGTATATTTACAACATATGTACACACTCTACACTGCCACACACTATATACATTCACCGTCAACAATCAGAACACCGCGAGTGTGAGCAGCCACACCCAGCCAGCCCTCCCTCACTCCAACATCTTACTCGTCAACATTGCTCCTCCCACCATACTGTTATTGTATTTATTACACAATTTACACATGTTATATATACCTATCTACATGTTTTATTTACCAGAACTATGCAAGTAAGCCGGTATTGTGTCCAAACAGTATAGTGGCCACCATACACTGCATGACAAATCACACAGCAGACGACGCCACGATTACGACGTTACCTCCCTCACCAAAATAGCTCCTCACAACATACTCCTGGTGCTGTTATTACACTATTCCACACACACTGTATATACCCATGTACATGTGTGTTCCCCATAGCGAACCACGAAGCTAGTATGGTGAGCAAAATAAGAGTTACTGCCACACAGTGAGGCTACCTCAATTCTCTTCCTTCCTCCCTCCCTCACCAAAATTTCTCCTTCCTACGCACAACGCTCATTATAACCACAATCCTGGTCACTAATACCTGTAAATGAATAATTGACCACAAGTTTATTTTGAAAAGGAACCTAAAAAGTAGTTTGAAGATTCCTAGATGGACGAAATAATGCTGTGGTGCTGTGGCTAACGCTGTGAACATCGTGAACAGCATTGAATCACTGATATTTGAACATTGTACCCAGTCATTATCACACTCGGGCTCTTCTATAATACTATCATGGCTAAATAAAACAGATTATATATATATTTTGACAATATTAGGCAATGGTGTGGTCACACGCTGAACAGCAGTGCTGTGCGCTCATGCTGTGAGCGCCAGCCTTGGTTGCTCACTCACTACTGAGGCTCTGACACCCGGCAATGTGGACCATGATTTTTTTTTAAGATGGCGTCTGCTTACAAGACCCCTGAGGAAGCTGATGTGAACCCCATGTAGCCGCGGGAGTTTTGAATGGAACGTGAAAAATAAAAACACCCGGGGGCGCGTTGCGCAGTTAAAGGGATAAGGCTTTCTTATTTAGATTTTTAAATGCTGCTTATATATTTGGCAACGTCTCATATGCAATCTTAAGCCCAAATGTCAGTGCCTAAATGTGCAGAATAAGAATACGATACTAGGATTTATTTCAAGTGTTAGCAATGACATCTTAAGTTATTTTTCAGCTTTAACTTGCTCTTGTTAGTGATGATTAGATCATGCAGTTGTCTTAATTGCAGTATTATAGAATGACAAATTCCCTTGAATATATACAGAGAAAGATTAAGTTAATCCCAGGAATAAGAAACATCTTATATGAAGAATGATTTAAAAACTTAACTTACAGCCTCTAGAAAGGTGAAGAGTAAAGGGCGACATGATTACAGTATACAAACAGATAAAAGGGTATAATAAAGATATTAATAAGGTGTTACGTACACCAACACAGAATAAAGGATACAAATAGAATAAGTTCTAATTCAGAAAAGAATTAGGTAAATATTGATCTGGGAATACGGTTGATGATTTATGAACAAATAAGTGGATAACATGATGGATGCAGGCTCTCTGTATTGTTTCAAGCAAAAATTAGACATACAATATATATATAAAAATGAATTTGGACGAGTATAAATAGGAACTGCCTATCACTTGCCAATAGCCTTGTACAGTTTCCTTTATTATTATGTTATAATGTTGAGAAGAAGTAATTATCAACAGAAGGCACCAAACCAGGAAGGCTATGTAGCACCATCAAATGTGCGGAATAATCAGAGGGCGCTAAATATCACCAAGGATGTTGAGAAGAAACCATTGTTGGTATTTGGTCCTCACAATTAGCCAGGGAAGGGTGGTCCCTTTCCAATCTGTCTGTCCTCAATTAATAGGTTGAATTGTTTACATTATCATAACCAATGTTACAAATGCAATCTATTAAGGAAAGTAACAGCTCAAATATGTATGTTCTCTATGCATCAGCCTTGATAGGTTAGGTTGGTTGCTTTGGTTCGTACATTTCTGGTTTGTTAAGAAGTTGGATTTTTTATGGAGTAGCACATCAAGAGAACAGGCTGCCAAAATAAATGTAAAGCAGAGTAACAAGTGCACACTTAGGTAACAAGTATTACACTTTGGTAATTAAACTGTGCAAAAGAGGAAATTCCTGAAACCAGCATCTTCAAGAACAAGAGGACACAGATTCAAGCTAAGGAAACAAAGGTGCCAAAAAATATTAGAAAGTTTTTTCTGCAGAGTGGTAAATGGCTGGAACAAGATAAGTGAGAAGATGGTGAAGGCCAATTCTGTCAGTAGTTTCAAAGCATTATATGACAGAATACTGGGAAGACAGGACACCACAAGCGTAGTTCTCATCCTGTAACTACACTTGGGTAATTATACGAGTAGAATGAAAACCAAGCATTCAACATGTAATTATGTTGAGGACTCCTGTGCAATTACAGGAGATGTTCCAGTCTCAAGGAATATCAAATATAGGGTAGTTATCGTAATATTATTGGCTCTGCTAAAATCCAGCTAACAGAATAAAAGCATCAGGCAGAAAAATGAGAGCCTCCAAAAATGAAAACCTGTGCCTCCATCAATCTGTGTGCACAGAGGTGGTACCATCTAGTGACAATCGGTGTAGATGTTTAGATATTTTAGAATTATCCATGGCAATTTTTTAATGATTATGGATCACTTGAAGGAGATTTTAGTGATTTTAATAATTTCTGGAGAACTATTTACCCTTCAGAAGCAAGACAAGAGAGTTTAATAAGATACGTGTCATCTGGGGTGTAAAGTCCCTCAGTTTGGCATGAAACAAGGAAAACTATCGAGGTGGCCTGGCTCAGAATCAGTGCTGGATGAGTTGCCATTGTACAGAAGTTGTGTACATATAGACCTCAAAGATGTGTAATCAAAATATTGCTCAACTCATAATATCTTGAAGCCTCTGGTCCTTCACACAGTAAATAGATGAAATTTTATTATATAAACATTTACTACTTGACAGAATGGGTCATGTGAGAACTGCAGAGTACAGGAATTAATGTGTATGTACCTTATCATTGTGATTGAACAGAAATATAGCAAAGTTGAGGCATACACTGGGATCTCGTTCCTCCAGACGCACAGCCTGTTCATATGCTTGGCGGCCATTTTCTTCATCGTCTAAATATGTGAGGGCTACTGTTTGAATAAGAAAAAATTTGAATTAATAAGTATACTTGATGAACTTACAAAGACAAAAATAAAGCAATGAGTGTAATAAAGTACAGTACCACTTTGTGTAGCCTCTTGTGAGCTCCCCATAGCTAAAGACACTCATACCACAGAGCCATCCAATTGTATCAGATCCCTGAGACTTACATGGCCTGCCAAAAACCAGGACCAGAATTTGGTTCTCTCAAAGAGGCAAGGGAAGCATGGTGATGAAAGATCAATCCATAGACAAGGAAGCCACACAGAAAAGTCATAAGTGAAACAAAACAAACCACTGCTATTAATAAAGAAAGGAAATTTAAGAAAATATGGCAATCAATACTGTATGTAGCAAAGAGTAAAAAAAATTTCCTAACTTGCACAACTGCCACAAGGTGGTAGTCTGTGTCACCTCGTAACCAGGTCTGCCATGCTCTTCATTCACAACGTAAGACACAACAGGGCAGCACAGAAAGATGCAAATTATTACTCCAATAATCTCATCACATTATTTCTGTGCTAGCCACCTCAGTAGCTCCCTGAAGCTTACTCACAATGGAGCCTCAGAGGAAAATGGCTATGCTGAAGAGAAACAGGATACAATGGCAACAAAAACAGAAAGGGTTGCACCCATGGGAGGAGTAGGCAGACCATTTTTTCAAGACCAAGACTTGAAAAAAATGAGCATGTGTTGCATTACCAGACCAAGTGCCACATAAGCACTGCAAGGATATAAGTCAACAAAAAGAAATGAGTAGCCAAACCATGTTGGATTGCCAGAACTCCCAGGCTAGGATAAACCATCAAAAGAAGCCCCCATAGAAAAGGAAGGCAGGAGAGGGCAAGCAAGACTTGAAAAAAAATGATAGCAAGTGCTACAGGCAAGTGCAAGTGTTCTGGTCTTGGTAGCATCTGCACCAGCTGAGCTGCGATGCCCTACAGGAAAACACTTGCTAAGCCTGAAAATTCCGTAGTGACCTTACTTCAATAGGGGTTATGCAAGCCATGCTTAGCTATTAGCTATGAGCAGAAGGCAGCATGACACTGTCAGTACCAGGCCTATGAGTGAGAAGGATGGCAGACTGGAACCCTAGGTGATCTGAGCTGCAACCTGGTGGTAATTGGCTTAATTAGGTCACAGGCTGTTTATCTGTAGACAATTATACTTTGATTTGATTTATTAATTTAATTTCTTTATTAAGCACAATGAATTATTTTGTTTTGCCTTTGACTTTGATCCCCCATGCTCATGTCACTTTTTGAGAAAGCCAAATTCTGATCCTGGTTTCCAGAAGACACATGCAAGCCTCAAAGGAACTGAGACAATAGAGAGGACTAGCATAGTAAAGTAGCTTAAATGACTAGATAATGGCAACTGTAACCTGAGGAGTATCTTCTAAAAAATAAGTTATGTGGTGACCATCTTATGCGGTTCTTGCCAGGTTACAAAGTAAGGAGTGCTCCTGATTTGGACTGGTGCAGGACTGGACTGCCACTTGCTGCAGAAGTTGAAGAAGTTTGATATGCCAGTTAACTTGTTAGAGTTTGGTTTTGACCGGCATTTAACAAATTATTTCTTAAAGAGTTGTTGAATTTTCATGAACCCCATTTCACTGCAACTGCATGTGGTTGTCTCCATACAGGGTTGATCTCTGATCCCCAGGTCCTCCTCACCCCAGGAAAGAACAAGAGGGTCTGAGAGAGAACATGTCTTCCGTGATAAGTAGTTTTTCATGGGTGCTTGCTGTAACTATCCTGTCATGTCTCGTCCAGTTCATAAACATTATACATAAACATATACTGAAAAAGCTGCTTAGGAAATTAGTTTAAAATTGAGCTGTACAACTAAAGTTGCCAAAGTATAGTGTGTTGGATTATCAACATTTTACAGTATTGTAATAGCTTTATTTAGATTATATTTCAATACCGTATCAACAAAATACCTGTCATGAATGTAGATTGGAGGACATTTATTTATTATTCTGGAATGTAAACCAACACTTAGAAATTTTAGTGGTCAGTGCCTACATTGGATCATACTGCTACCAACTTGCTTCTTGGATTTACATATGATATTCATACTGTGACTCATGCTCAAAATAGACCTCAGTATACCAAAGATATCGATACAACAACGGATTATGTTACAGAAGTATTAAAGTTACTGTATTTAATGCAACTGAAACTAACAAAGAACCTAGTGAAGCAAGGCTGTGTACACTGGCTGGACCAGAATTTATTGCCCAAAAGGAGTTCAAATAAAATAGGCAAGTTTTTTATAAACTTACTTTTTCAAAATTATTTTGTTATTGAATTGTACAAAAAAATTAAAACAATGACATTTAAAATGGCAAAGTTTGGATGCAACACAACTTCATTACTGGAGAATGGATTGGATTCGAATTTATGCAATCAAGTGGTATAACATGTACAGATTTGTAAACCAAATGATACAATGTACATAATTATACTTAACATACATTATACACAATACCATGGTACTGTAAGGTACAGTATACACATACTAGCAAGAAGCATAAAGATATGCCCTTTGGAGGGCCGTAAGTTGACAGCAGCAGAGAGGAAGTGAAATGCTGATGTATACTGCTGCATTGTGAGATGCACCAGTCCCAGGTTATACAGAATCTTCCAGTCAAAGGGTGCCAAGTAGTTAGCGCGTTTCAGACAGCTTATAGACTGAAAGACAAAAGAAGAGTAAAATACCTGTACTGTCAAGAATCGACTTGAGAATGGTCCAGGACGGACCGAAACGTCGTCGTCCCTTCACATTCTAGTGTGTGGTCTGGTCAAAATACTGTCAATTTCACACACACACTAATTTATTCAAAATGTAATAAACTACATTCATATGTATCATCTATCATTACATGGTATTCATTGGGGGATTTGAAAATATTTAAAACAGGTCCTGTATATAAACTAAATCATCTTGAGTACAAAGTATAAGATCACTTTTTTTAGAATGTCTCTACACAAAATAATATCAGGACATAACAGATTCCTCTAACAAACTTCAACGTTCCTACACATTCCTTCAATATATCCTTGCCTGCCTTCATTTATCTTCTCCACACAATCTCCCCACAATATATTCTTATCAAAATCTTGTCAGTAATAAATGAATGTAAAAGTACACATTCTTACATAAAAATGCATGGAAAACATAGCAAAATAGTTTATATTAAATTTAATATTTCTAGGTGTTTTTATTATCAAAATAAATGTAATTGTATTACATTTTATTACATTAATGTTTTAATTACATTTATTACATTACATTAATACATTTTATTAATACAAATAATTGTAAATGTAATAAAATGTGTTGAATGTAATGAAACGCCATTTTCTGGGCAAGTCCTGGAGGCTACCCCCTCCCTCCGGTCGGCGTTTTTTCACGTTTTTGATATTCAGCCTCAGAAATGGGGTGTGGATCGCTGGCGCTAGGTTCTGGGGCTTCCCCCTTTCCCCTCCCAGAAAGGGAGGGGGGGAGAGGAGCTGCGCAGACATGCGGCGCGGCTCGTGTGATGTCATGCTTGTTTGCCTATTTTTCTTATGGGGAGTTTTGTCCACTCGTTTGACGATTTTCGTTGTTAACCAGAATAGGGATTTATTTTCTGGTGCTTACCTTTCTGGGTGCCTGTCCCGGTCGATGGCAGATATAGATTGCTCCAAATCACATGTGCATTTCTATGGGCCATTGCTCCTCGTGCCTTTGTGAGGGGGGGCCAGGTTCTGGCTTGTGGTCCCTGGTAGGCATAGAACTCTACCCCACATCGACTGATGCAAAATAGTTAGGGTATCCATATCACCCATGGATAGCTTTGGGGAGCCGTAGGGGGTCCCCAGACAAAATAGCAAGTTGGATGCAACAGAACATCAGTTGCTGCAGCAGGATCCTCTAAAAATTTGACAATTCAATTGGAAGTGCCATGTACAGCATTGTAAACCAAGCCTGAATGTACACTAGGGGCTTCAAAAAAGTTAAATGCATGGCCAGTGTCTCAGCAAAGCTTCTGGTTCACATTATCTAATTCCAGGAGGTAGGCAAGATAGTAGTCACTTTATTTATGCAAATGTTTTGCAATGCATCAGAGGTAGTATAAGTCAAACAAGCCATATTCTACAGGAATGGTTGCATTCTTCTCCCTACTACACAGCACATAAAGAGATGGCATCATATATTTTTGAGAGACTGAATCCTGAGACACTACACATGCATTCAGATAATGGCTCTCCCTTGCAACCAAAGTGTCTGCACAGTATACTGTACTTAAATTTTAAGTCTTGCACTTTTAAGATAATAGCTAGTTCAGTGGGTACCATTTCAATTATACCAAATCTAACCCTAAAATATACTTACTGCCACATATTTTTTTTTTCCAAAAAAACACATGGCAATATTATTCCAAAGTGGTGGAGATTCAGAAATAGTCTGGGCAGCCACACGGTACTTGGACAGTGCGACATCAAAATCCTGGTGGCTCTGAAAATGTTTAGAATTACAATAATGCAATATCAAATGAATAAATCTTCATCGTACAGTATCATTTATTACATCTTTTCATATATTTTTTCTCATTTAAACATAAAATGTCAATCATATTTTATATTTAAAAATTAAAATAATATTATTTATAACTATAGTACATGTGCTATACAGTACCGGGATACACGAAAAGCCCCTTTCTAAGCAGATAATTCAGTTGTCCCAATCATTCCCATTCTGTCCCTCTTTATTTGTTCTTTGAGTATGTTAAGTATCAGGCAATATGTGGGGTGGTTTGGGTTAACGAACCCTGGAGTAGATGTAGTGCAGGCAGTTTGGTGGGGGAGGTCATCTTGAGATGATTTCGGGGCTTAGCGTCCCTGCGGCCCGGTCCTCGACCAGGCCTCCTTTTTATTACATACCCCCTAGGAAGCAGCCTGTAGCAGCTGTCTACAATGCAACAATTGGTACCAAGGTATCTATTTACTGCTAGGTGAACAGAACCATCAGGGTGAAAGAAACTCTGCCCATTTGTTTCCGCCTCCACCGGAGATTGAACCCGGAACCTTAGGACTACAAATCCTGAGCGCTGTCCACTCAGCTGTCAGGCCCCTGGTCAGCTGTAACTAGGATGGTCAGGTAATCTAACTGGTAATTAGTGAGAGCTCTTGTTGGCTGTAACTTGAGAAGGTCACCTCAGAAGAGCTTTGAAATCCTATGGAATGATTTTGGATAGTCTTCCTGGGCTGAACTAGTATCCTGCATTTTTTTGACCTGCATAAAAATCCTGCATTTTATATTTAAAGATAGAGATAATTAAAAATTCACTGTTGGCCCGTGATGTATGTTATCCTGCCTAACTGTATATTCTCATCAAAGAACAATGGAAACTTACTTTAGGGGAACCAAATGATCTGCTTAGAAAGATACTCATCAAATACTCATCATATATAAGATACTGATCATGGCTGTTGTTTTGAATATATCTACTGACAATTTATAGACTGTTGAAACATCCTTTTTAATTACAAAAGCAATCAAATCATTGAATCAGTGGACACTCTGAAGCAACAAATATGAGAACATTTTAAAGACTCGGTTATATGTATCTCTGGGAATTAGCATTTCCTCTCAATGTAGGACAGACCAAATGTAAATTTTATCGTCGAAAATTTTTCACACACCCTCCGTCACTATGTGATGGAGTGTGAAAAGATATGAATTTAGAGACAGCTCTGCATCAAATGTTCAAGAAATGTATGAATTTTTCATTAAAAATGATCTAGTACCAGAACTTTTAGCCAAATACTGTATCCAATTTGTTAACTGTTGGAATTAAATGCGGGCAACCTGTACCCTGTAACCTTTCCACCACTGCCCACAGGATGGATATGGGGTGCATAATAAATTAACTAAACTACAACATGTAGATCTACCAGATGTTACAATATTTAAGTTACAGGACAAGGGGTAAAGTAAGGAACACACAAATTTACAAATATGAGTAAACAAAAAAAATCAACTATGTGACCAAAAAAAAAATTATCTCATGTACTTGCTGAAAGGTACCTGCATCATGGAGCCAGCAGCAAGAATTGCTCGTGTGTTATTTGGATCAAAGGTAAGAGTGGTTCCCAAGTGCTCAAAAGCTTGTTGATGTTTTCCTGTTTGCATGTACAGTAGACCAAGAGCAGTGTGAAGGTCTCCATTTTCAGGGAAATATCTGAAATTAATTATATACAATCAAGAAAAGGAAAGTGAAGAATTAACGTAACTGAGCACTGGATTTAATTAAATCCCCTTTGCGGTGGGCCACTCTGTAGTTTCACCAAATATGGGTAAACTACATCAATATGGATGTAATGTGGTTAACTAGGACCCATGGAAAAATTCTGCTATAAATTTCTAGTACAGTACAAAGAGCTTATGTACAAGGGGTCTGAGTTATCCTAAAAATGCAATTATGTCTTATCTGACAGTACAGTACGTACTTGAATCCGTTCCATCGTACGTACGTACTTGAATCCGTACCATCCGTTCATGGATGATATGCCAAAACAGAATTACAGCAAAGGAGTGGAAAGCATGACACATCCTTTAAGCTATGTCCGAAACAGGTTTATGTGCAATATAGGTGTAGGGATTACACTGTTGATCTAAATAGAATACTCAATCACTGCTTTTTTCAATTATGTGAACATATACAGTATTAGGTTATTTAACAGGATCACTACACTAAGTAAACTAATAAGAGAAGCAACACAAATAAAACCAGCGATGAATGTAATGAAACACTTCTTTCTGGCAGAGACTTGGTGGGTCGTTGTAGCTAGCTAGCTCAGTGAGGTAGCTTTCTCCCGTCTGAGTCACATTAATCCTATGAGTCTTGTATTCCGTGCTTTGATTACTTTCTGGATGTTTTCTTGGTGAAGGTGATCATAACAATCAACACTCAAGGGGTCTGTGTAATTACTCAAAGCTACGCAAACTTGCTCAAAGCTACACAAAGCTTCCTAGCATTACGTTAGTAATGAATAAATATGATATATTTATTCATTATAATGTTGGTGCTGAATGTAGAACATGAAAAACATATTTTTACTCTGAAAAAGTATAATTTTATAACGAAATTAGACGAAAATAAGAAGCTGGTGATGCCAAAGCAAGTCGACGGTCCATGCGACAATGTTTGCTGGTATATGAGTCTCCTGTACCTACCTAACCTAACCAACCTACCCAAACATAACCAACCTACCCAAACATAACCTGACCAAACCTAACTAAACCTAACCTATCCAAACATAACTTAATATAACCTCTAGGCAACAATATATCTTGAATAATTTGTTCATCTTGGATAAGTTGCGCCACAACATTGGCGCTTCAATCGTCGACTTCCTATGGCCTCTCATGCTACTTAGTTTCATCTAATTTCGTTATAAATTTATATTATTTCAGAGCAAAAATATGTTTTTTTCATGTTCTACATTCAACACCAACAATACAGCGAGTAAATATATCATATTTCTTCATTACTTACGTAATGCTAGGAAGCTTTGGGTAGCTTAGGGTAATTAGATGGTCTGCACTCAAGAATATCTTCTGGAGCAATGAGGGGACTCGATCCCTCGACTTCAGTACATCCAAATCGATCACCTTATCTCTGTACCATGGCACATGACACAGTGTCATGTATAAGTTATACAAACTGGGCTTCCCTGAATCCATAGGACATGTGGTGGCCCCTGCTGGAGCCAGTCTGTGTTTTACATATAACCCCCATGCACTCTGGCATAGGTAATGGAGTTCTTTCACCTTATGATCCAACCTCAGATACACAAGTAAATCATACTAATGTGATATATCAATGAGAAAATCATTTAGAGTATTCCCAAGCAGCGCACCTTATCTCTGCACTATGACCTAACCTAACTGATGTACCCAAGGCTTTACCTAAGGTACCAAGCAATTTCTGACAATCCTAGTGGCTGGCTTAAAAATTCACACAAGGTTTACACATTACAGTAAAAGCAAAAAGGCTTACTCAATGGCAGCCCGATATGTATTGATAGCAGAAGTTATGTCATTCACAAGGAGGTACAGTTTGGCAAGCATGGCAAACGTTTGATGGTGCTTATTTTGCTCCAGGGCATACATGAGTTGTTCTCTTGCACCATCATAATCCTTCAAGTGCATGTAGCATACTCCTGTTACCAAAAATAAAATAATATTAATTAAAATATTAAACACAAGGTAAGCAAAGTTTCCCTTAAGTTATTTATCATTTTAAAATCTTCATCCACATTTACAGTATTTCATTTCTCTTCACCAGACACTTGCCTCCCTGTCTTTAAGCAGGAAATGGAGTACTGTATGACATAGAATTCCCATTGTACAGAAAAAATTTGATGAGTGGGTAAGATTTTCTTAAAAAATTTCAGATTTGTTTTTAATTGTTGTGCAATCATTGAACTTTACTTTATTTTTGGGGACAAAAGGTCAGAAATCGACAATTAAGTACAGTATATGTATACAGTAATAACTTTCTGGTCCCGTAATTTAATTATGATTATGCTGTACTGAATATTATTAGATATGTTGGGATAGGTACAATCTTTTCTGTAAACACACACAACCCCCATTGTCAAACAAAACTACATTACAGAGAAAATGCATAAATGCTTCCAATTACAGTAGAAGAAAATGTGTTGCATCATTCTCAATGGAAAAATATCACTGAAGACAAAACAATGGAGAAGCTTACTGCAATACTGTAGTGTTTGAATGATGGTGAAGAAAAGACCCAATACTTGCATAAGTCTATTATTAATCCAAATTTTCAGATGAACCTCCAGCCTTTATCAAGGTGGTATAAACAGTAACCAAGGTTGTAACATAAACATCCTTGATAAAGGATGTAGATTCATCCAAAAATTTAGTTCAATAATACACTTACACAAGTACAGTACTGTATTGGGTCTTTTCTTCACCTTCATAAAAATAATAAAGAAAAACCATAACTTACAGCACTGCATTTAAATTTACACAAGAAATTGTTCATACATAAATAATAACATTACCTAAATTATGGTGAAGCTCCCAATCAGGCTTGTCCAATTTATCCTCAGCTTGAAGATATGCCTCCACAGCTAGTTTGTGCCGTCCCAAAAGAAATCTATAAAAAATGGGAACTTTCATGTTGTGTAGCCATGGAAGGTGTCTGACATAAACACAGTCATCCATACAGTAGAAGTGCAATTATTAGGCCCTGCAATGAAGCAGAGCTTTCTTTGCAGTGTGTGTAAAACAGGATTATACAATGTTACACGATGTACCTAGGTTGAGCTGGTGTGGTTAACCAGTGAAGTATACAGTATTTGATTTTATGTACGTTACAGTTTATGAAAAAAATCAATTTTGTAGCCCTTTGTCAGGCTGCTTATTGAGGAATACACAAAAAAGAAATTTGCCTTTGGTAGGAGAATTTACCATTACCCGTGCATAGACTCACCTTTCCCTATACGGTATATTGGTTTGCACTTCCTAAATAATGTAAATTGATCATACTGTATGTGAGTGTTAGTTAGTAGTAAGAGTTATATGCTTACATCCTTCACTCCTCTCCCTGTCACACTGTCATCATTCCTCACTTGGCAAGAACATACTAGGCCAAAAATAATATATACAGCACATGTAACAATCTGTTATTTATGATTGTGTTCATAGGCATTTTATATCTACTATTTTTCATGTTACTTAGGATGACATATGACTAATATGGCCACTCTCTCAAAGTCATATACAGCTTTTTCAATGTCATTTATAGATGCTAGCATTAATAAACATTGTATTTCTTCCACACTTCATTTTATTTATGGTGACATAGCTTGGATAGGCTACACTAAGACCCTGCTAGAACAAACTGTTGTCCAATGAACTCATGAATAACCTGAACAGATTCTATTCCGATAAACATTAGGGTATATTACTCTAAATATATATACTGTACTGGTATTTGGGATGGTTTCATGAACCCTATAGTATAAGAAAAATTTCCTTCACTGAACTTGGTACTAATGAGTTTTCCCACCAAATCATTCCCATGTCTATAACCAAGCCAATCATACATAAGAGTGCTTATCTGGGCAGCAGCACAGAAAAAAATCTAAATTAACCTATCACAAAAGAGTATTCATTTGATCAAACATATACTTGGAAGGGAGTCTTTCAAGAGCATTTTTGTACAGTGGTATAGAACACTACTAGAGAAGACTTACAGAGCACGAGCCATCTGCTTGATGTTCTCAACGCTGCTAGGGTTCAGGATGTTGCACAACTGGAATAACTCAAACGACTCTTGTATTTTTCCTTCTTGCCTCAATATCAAACCCTAAAATGAAAAATTTTACAATTAAATAATCAACCAACTCGCTTATATAATCATCAGTCCACAATAAACCAATCTAAAAATATATTTATGTAGTTGAAGAAATACCTACAAATACTGTAGTATAGTGAGCAAATCAGTAGAAGCCATGAGGAGAATTCAAACCTATGCACTGAGTACTCCCAGCCAACAGTCTTTGTCCATACACTTTAAACTTCATGTCCTCTAGATCCTCATACATGCTGAACTGCCAAGAGAGATACTTCTAGTCAAATCATAATCAAGCTGTGAGTGTTAAATTTCTGTCAAAATTCATAAGAAGATCTGGCAATGAGATTTGAAATTATTTATAGGACGTGAAGAAATGTGAACGTAAGCAGACTTTCAAATCTGAAGAAAAATGTCTGCAACTTATACAGTAAACACATTGGCATGAGGTGGTTATCAGTGGTAACCTCCTACAGCAGTCTATAATGTAGTTTTGTCCACTTAAGACTACATAGCACTAGGAGCAACATGAAGTTCAAATGAAGATTTTTATCATCTGAAATGTTCTCAAAGCCCATTCAATAATTGATTTCTTCTCCCTATTACACTAGTGCTAATACAGTACAGTATAGTACTGTATTACATTTAATTTACTATTTGACAATGCTGCCTCTTAAGTGAGTAGTTTAATTAACTTTCAGACACACGTGTGGTTTGTGAATAGGGTTATATTTTGACCTGAATTTAATTGTTTCAGTTAGAGTGAATTCTAAAACAAACAGGATGTTATTATGAAAGAGCTGAAGTTTGGGAGCGAAAGTGTTCTCTATATGGTTAGGCCATAACTGTAATTTTGATTTACAAGAAGATGTAGGTATCTCATGTGATTTGAAAAGTTTGGATTCATTTGTTTTCCTTTTGCAGGATATAAATAATACCAGTGGTGGTCTAGTTCTCCTTTTTGGAATACTGCATATATTTTTTAATGACTACGCATTTTTCAAGTTTAATTGCATTAGTAAAGCTTTCATTAGAAAAGTCGTCCAAGTGTCTATTGTAAACAATGATAACTAACAGTATAATAATACAAAAAATAATCTGCAAAAGCATATTTCATGAATTATGAAATTATGATGATTTTTAAATTATTCATAGAGTAGATTTTATTGTTCTGTTCTGACAATTCCAGAGTAATATAACTAGTAAATACTAACTAGAGTATTTTATTTTCACATTAGTTATGTAATACTGAGCATACTAGCTGTCTTCATAAAACATATTGCATCCTTTATAGTATGACTGACTGGAGATCCAACCCTATATCTACCCCTCATGTCAAATGTTGGCATAGTGGAGAATGGTGAACAAGTGCAGGCATGATAGCTATGGGTGAAAAGAGGTGAGGAAACACTAGATTCACTGTTGCTACACAATACTGACATGTATGTGCTTTCTCAATCCACACATCCAAACTCCCAAATTCATTATAACTCCAAATTTTTAAAACTTTTCTAATTATAGTAATTAAAGCTCAAATAACATCTACATATCTTACAATCCTCTATAGTCAATATCAGCTTTTTCCATTAAAAATTTGTAAAATGCAGGTATTTTACATAATCATTACAGTTGTTGTCCTGTAGAGATGATTTTAACTTTAGTGAGAGCAATATTACTAACTAAAATATAAGAGTCAAATAACATGTGCTCAACAACACAAGCAAAATGGTGTCACCTGGACATAGTTGGCATACTCGCACATTCCACGAGTCTCTTCCAGCTGCTCTCGGATTAGTTGTTTGCAAAGGTCAAATTCTTTTCTCACATAATGTAAATGAATCAGCCAATTTCGTCTCTCTACTGTCTGAAGTTCAGGAGCTGGAGTAAAAAAAGAAGAGTGTACAATATACAGTACACTGAAATCAATAGGTAATATTGAATTGTACAATTCTTTTTGAAGTATGTACAGTCATTATAAGCTTGAGCTGAACTGAATTTTATCAAATGTACAATAGAAATATTGTAACTGATGAGGTATATACAAAGATTACATCGTCAAACAGGAGGAAGTGTTGGGATTAATCTACTCTAAGAGTCATTAATAAATTACTATACAGAACTTACCTTTCCTAGGTCGACTCTTCGTCTTGAGAGCGGAGCCAGGAGGTGCAGTAGGAGTCGTCATGCCATTGACATGAGACTCTGGAGTTTCACTTACAGGATTCATGGTGTGATGTGGTTTTTCACTCTACATAAAACAATTTAATGAAATATGAATAAATCAAAGTACAGGTACAATATGACATAATACAAGAAGTAAAATTACTAACAACGAAGCCTGTCATTAACAAAGTAATATATATGGTTTTACTAGTATGCTTAGGCTTGGCTATAAGTATCTCTGGGAATTTTCATTATCTGCTGATGTAGACCTGACCAAATGTAAACAGTGTCAACAAAATTATTCACACACTCTCCGTCACTATGTGATGAAGTACTAAACGATATGTGAATTCAGAGACAATTCTATAACAAATGTTCAAGTGTAAATATTTCATTCAAAATGATTGGCTACCAGAAATCTTAGCCAAATATCTCCAGTTTGCTAACTGTAAGTAGTAACAAAGTGATTGTAACCTATTCACTTCTGCCCACTGGATGGGAGGCGGTGTACAGGACAAACATGTCCTGTCCTGTCCTATCCACACATGTCAGTTACTATATAATATTCATTCTGGTACCAAAAAATTTGCAAATAAATTCTCTACAAAACAAAAGTATCCCCATCCATTTCGGTTAAAAAATGGAATTTATAGAAATATTTTTTCGATTGACGAGAAAAGTAGGCAGTTATGCGGAATCGTAAGAAAAACCAGTGACGAGTTATCTCTAATATAAAGCGCGAAAGTGTTAATTTAGAAACTGTACCTTCTTGAGGTTATCTTGAGACGATTTCGGGGCTTTTAGTGTCCCCGCGGCCCAGTCCTCGACCAGGCCTCCACCCCCAGGAAGCAGCCCGAGGCAGCTGACTAACACCCAGGTACCTATTTTACTGCTAGGTAACAGGGGCATAGGGTGAAAGAAACTCTGCCCATTGTTTCTCGCCGGCGCCCGGGATCGAACCCGGGACCACAGGATCACAAGACCAGCGTGCTGTCCGCTTGGCCGACCGGCTCCCTGTGGTCAGTCTCGAGCCCATTGTTGATGTGACAATGTGAACTGAATTTTGTAACTAGCTTATCAAGATTGTAACTTGCTTAGCTAAATGAATTGTTGGGTTCAGTCCCTGAGCCCATTATGTGCCTCTATAACCCTTTCCACTAACCCTCACTAAACTAAAAAACTAGTAATACTTTTTATTTTAGAACGTGTTATACCAAGAGTTTATTACAGTATACAGTATACAGTCAGGCGGACACTCTCTTCTTGGGAATTTTACTCAAATTTCATTTCAAATGTCACACAAGGATGCGTTAGACCAACACCAAATAAAAAACTACGTCGATTACACTCGTTGTGTCAACAATATATTAGTCTTACCACGAAGATACAATACAATGCCGTTTTCTCAAATAGGCAATGTGGTTATTAAAGAAAACGGAAATTTCATGGCAAATATGTATACAATCCCCAAGTCGATCGGATAAGAATTGGATTTTATAGAAATATTTGCTCAAATGACGCTTGAGCGCGGTGTTTGGATGCATTCAAGAGAAAAAAGTGTGTCACGTTCAAGCGACATATACCTGCAAAAGTGATAACACTTTCATAAAGTGTTATCACAAAGTGATAAATTAATTAAACATTTTCACACACCGGGTTGTCACTGCTTTATCAGGGCAGCTTTTCCAAGAATGCGTTCACCTTTTCAAACATTCCAAACACTTCCCTGATCTCAGTGGAAGAGGAGCACCATGTGGTTTTGCTCGTTAATAGAGGCGAGCTCGTCAATAGAGACAAATTTGCTGCGAGTGGCTTGCTCGTTACTGGAAAAACTCGTTAATAGAGCCACTCGTTAATCGAGGTTCCACTGTATATATATCTCTGTATATTACAGATACACAGGCAATGATTTGCAAGTAAATGACAGGTACAGGTATCTGCAATTCCTAACTATAAATGGAAATTTATGAAATTTATGAATCTCTAACAAACATCTACCCAATATAGATATTTGTTAATTTTTAGGCTGACAGCACACATGCTATATAAAACATTATATTTAAATTCTCCTTCAACCCAGTAAGTTAACTTATGCACAAACAATTACAAATGCATGAATCTTTGTAATTTTTCATTCATACTTCAACTGGGACATCCATTTCACTGAACTGTTCATTCCTTCTATCTTGCAATGTTATCTAAAATCTCCCCTGAACATATCTCTATCTACCCACTGTACTTAAATACTGTCTACACACACACTTGCTCACATGCTCACTCACTCTCACACTAGAAGTGTTCGTAGCCCAGCTGTGGGAGCATCCTCCAGCCTCTCAGTCCGAAGTTCCATCATATTATAAACAATTGCATTTTTACTTCAACTGATTTTTCAGGCATCCCTGAGTACAGGCATTGTAGCTGATGTGTGGAACATAGTTCCACCATACAAAACTGGCAGCAGGGAAGATCCCCCTCAATTATAGATCTGTATCATTGATAAGTGTAATAGTCAAAATATTGGAAAAAAATAATTAGCTAAATAGGTAGAACACATGGAGAAATGATATAATATTAGACAGACAGTATGGTTTTCGATCTGGAAGATCCTGTGTAATGAATTTACTCAGTTTCTATGATCGAGCTACAGAGATTTTACAGGAAAGAGATGGTTGGGTTGACTGCATCTATCTGGACCTAAAAAAAGGCTTTTGACAGAGTTCCACATAAGAGGTTGTTCTGGAAACTGGAACATATTGCAGGGGTGACAGGTAAGCTTCTAACATGGATGAAAAATTTCCTAACTGATAGAAAAATGAAGGCCGTAATCAGAGGCAATGTATCAGATTGGAGGAATGTCACAAGTGGAGTACCACAAGGTTCAGTTCTTGCACAGGTAATGTTCAATGTCTACATAAATGATCTACCAGTTGGAATATAAAATTATATGAACATGTTTGCTGATGATGCTAAGATAATAGGGAAGATAAGAAACTTAGATGATTGTCATGCCCTTCAAGAAGACCTGGACAAAATAAGTATATGGAGCATCACTTGTCAAATGGAATTTAATGTGAATAAATGCCTTGTTATGGAATGTGGAACTGGAGAACATAGACCCCACACAACCTATAAATTATGTGAGAAATCTTTAAAAAATTCTGACAAAGAGTTCTAGATAGAAAACTCACCTGAGGACCACATTAAGAACATTGTGCGAGGAGCCTATGCTACACTTTCTAACTTAAGAATTGCTTTTAAATACATGGATGGAGAAATACTAAAGAAATTGTTCACAACTTTTGTTAAACCAAAGCTAGAATATGCAGCGGTTGTATGGTGCCCATGTCTTAAGAAGCACATCTACAAACTGGAAAAGGTGCAAAGACATGCCACTAAATGGCTCCCAGAACTGAAGAACAAGAGCTACGAGGGAAGGTCAGAGGCATTAAATATGCAAAAACTAGAAAATAGAAGAAAAAGAGGAGATATTATCACTACGTACAAAATACAGTAGTAACAGGAATCGATAAAATTGATAGGCAAGAATTCCTGAGACCTGGAACTTCAAGAACAAGAAGTCATAGATTTAAACTAACGAAACAAAACTGCTGGAGAAATATAAGAAAATTCATTTTTGTAAACAGAGTGGTAGATGGTTGGAACAAGTTAGGTGAGAAGGTGGTGGAGGCCAAAACCGTCAGTAATTTCAAAGCGTTATACAGTATCCACTCAATTTAACGGCCTATATGGGGCTGTACCCTAGTCGTTATTTCCGGAGCTCCGTTATTTCCGAAGTTAAGTCGGGTCAGGTAATTTTTCAAGTAACATTCAGGTAGGATATATTTTATACTGTATAACTAAAATTAAATAAAGTTCATTGTGTAATTGCATTCCAATTTAGTGCCACACCGACGATTAAGCCAGTTGTTGGCTGCTGCATGGATGATGTGTGAACACGGTCTGATCAAGCCCAGATGGGTGGGAAAAAATTGATTCATTCCTTTGTATTGCAAAATATTTCATGTATTAATCAGCAAGTTAATATTTTCTCAATAATATTTTAGAGATGTGTTTTGATTTACCCTGAACAGTGCAGGTAATGTATTTTTAATGTTACAACACACGCTGTGGCGGCCATGCCATAACAATGGCGATCGAGCCTTGTCACTGAGAGCTAGCCAAGACGAAATATTTTGAGCTCACCTATTCTCTGCTGACGATAGAATATACATTTGCAGAGACTAATATGTAGCTTTTGTTGAAAAAAAACAATTAATATCTTTTAATACTATAATAAAATTGGTAAATTGACTTACTTTTAATGAAGCTGAAGATTACGAAGCTGTGAAGATTACGTCATCCTCTGCAGCGCTTGTTTTATATTGTTTATATTGTATACAGGGTACATACTGTATGTACACTTATTTTCAGGCATATTTTAATAGAGTATCCTTCTGTTTCTTGATGTCACTTACTGTACATTTCCCAATGTTAAACTCTGCTGCTGCTGCTGCTGCTCGTGCACTGCTGCTCGTCCTTTATCAAGTTTCTTAATTAACTCCAGCTTCTGTGCAACCGTCAGGCGCTTCCTTTGGGTAACTTTTGGCATTTTGTAAATTAAAAAGAAGATCACAATTACAGTACAGTAATATCCTTCACAATTGAAGCTAGCCGCGCGAGTTCACAGTAAACACTGGGAACACATGGCCCGGCGGAGTACATTCTAGGTCCGTGGGAAAAAAAATACCTAGTGCCTATACTATAAAAGGTATTTAATAAGAAAACAAAGACTTTTGCTTAATAAAAACTGTTTCAAAATATTTTATTAATAATAATTTACAATTTTCTTCATTAAAGTGAATCATTTTAAAAGAAAATTAAGATGTAATATATGACTCTGGACGATCCAGGTCGGTGGCCTGGTCGCCATGTGAGGGGACGCTGATGCCACAACAAACCCAATACCGACCGTCAGTAATATCGACCGCAGACCGGTATAGCAGGCTCCAGATACCGGTCTCCCAAACCGGTCGTTAATACCGGCAGATCGGTATAAAAGAGGCCGTTAAATTGAGTGGATACTGT